TTTATGTGGCTTTTATTTTTTTTTTTCAATTTTAATTTTGTGTAACTTTTTGTTTTTTTTTTCAAATTTTTAAGTTATTAAATTTTAAAATTGAATAATTGTTTCTAGTAAATTTTTTTCTTATTTGTGTTTCTACACTTGGAAGGATTTAACTTTAATATATTAATATTATAAAAAATTATACAATACTAATTAATCATGAGTTATTATATGAATAAAAATTATTTTTTGTGTGATAAATGTACAGTATATTAATAATATATTATGATTAATTGATAATGTATTAATGATGCACTAAAATTGAGCTCAAATTTCTTAAAGCCTTAACATTTATTATTATTTTTTAAATTGAATCAATTGTATTTTAAACTTTCTTTTACTTGAAATCTATTAAATGGAAATTTAAATTTTATTAAAAGTAAAAAATAATAATCTTTCTCTTACAATTTTATTTTTATATTATATAAGATTCTTCAAATTCAATTGAAATTTATTAATATTTATTATTAACTTATAAAATTATTGAGTATTTTAAGTGTATCATAAAATTTAAAGTTTCAGATAGAGAGAAAATAAAGATTTTAATAAATGAATAAATTGATTTTTTTGTAAAATAAATAAAAAAAGATAAACTCAATAAATATTTAAGAAACTAAAATTATACATAACTTAAGTAAAATAAAATAAAATAATTAAGCACTTTGTTTACTATATTTTCTTTGAATGTCTTTCAGTTTTATTTATTCTGTGAAAAAAAAAAAAAAACATTTAATTTAAGAAATTATATTGTAATCTTGGGTTTCTTGAGCAATGATTTTGTTTTGGTTTTAGTTTGTTTTTTCTACACAAAAGAAAAAGGAGAGACGAAGGAAGCGCATATGCCGAGGCACATTACCGTTTGCCTGCTCACGCCAAAGGTACCGGCGCCCTCGAAGCCATCCCACTCTCCGCTCTGTTCTTTTCCACTTCTTCCTTCAAAATATTCATTTTAATTTTTAAAATAACAATATCTTAAAAAAATAATATTTATTATATTTTTATGAAGATAAATACCCTTTTAAATAAAATTTGATTTTTTTAGGTATTTAAAACAAACTTACAAAAATGAAGATAAAAAAATTTAAAATAATAAAAAGAATGGGTGAGTGTTGGAATTCATGCAGCCTATGAGATGAGAACAGTAGTAATGGTCGTATTAAATTGAATGTTGTTTGGACTGTTTCATAACCCATCATTCCATTTGTGCAGGAATTTCCAGCATTCCTTTCCTTTACCTTCTGCCAATTCCATCATTATCATACTGACAGGATCAGATGGAAGAGAGAGAGTGTGTGTGTTGTTAATTCTCTCCACTCTCTATTCCTTTTGCTTTTGGCTTTGGCTTGTAATACCCCTCACAAGTCTGCAGTTTCTGGCATCTTTTAGAACAATTCCTTCTGATTAGCTGAGAATGCCATTTTGTTTCCTTCCTCTGTTATAAATGGTCAGCTGCCTCAGTACCCAAATTAAATATCCCATTTATGATTCTAATCCGTACCACTATTACCGATTCTTTCTCCACACTCCCTCTTCTACATCACACTGTATATATATATATATATATACACTGTCATGTGTGTAAAATTAAATCCTCAGCAACATTAAAACAATGCTACTATTTCTTACATCATGTACATCTTCAAGGACTTGCCCACAATGGCCCATACATGCATAATAAAGCTTAAGCTTAATTCAGTCCTACACTAATGTTACAATTTTTTTCTGCTTTAATTTATATATGTAATTTCAGTTTATTAAATTTTAATAATTTATTAGTATTTTAATTGAATTATTCATTACAAGATTATGTAATAAGTAGGGACTAAATTCAAATCTTATCCCTCAACAAACCCAAGATGCTCCATTTATAAATTATGTGAACTACAAACTTTTTGTAGTCATAAAAAAAATGATACATTTTAACCAAATTTTTAATATTAACAAAGTTAATTAAATATATATAAATTTGTACTTAGATAATGAATGCAATGACTGCATGAATTTTAATTCCAAATAATCTCATGCTTAATGTAATGACAAGATTAATAAAAGAGTTGGTGAAGTGGTACAAGAACTTATGCTTTATGTAATTATGAAATTTACAATGACGTGGTTTTAAATACAATTTGTAATAATTTTTTATAAAAAAATATTAAATAGTAAATAAAGTAATTTTTTTATAAATTAAAAAAAAAATATATATATATATATATAACTTCATAATTTAATTTTTATATATTAATTTTCAAATAACTTATCTAAATACTCACCAAAACCAGGTCATAAATATATGTTACAAGCACCTCTTAATCCACTCCCTGCAAATGATTTTTAAGGACCAATTTGATTTCAGGAGGTCGCTTTTTTAAGTTAATGGAAGCCATTGATGTGTTTTAACTTCTAATTTATCATATTATACCCTCTTCTAAGATTTTATTGCATGCAATCATGGGTACTAATTTAAATCGTGAACTGTTCTTCATTTTAGAAGCTAAGCTTAAGGTCTGTTAGGACCGTATGGAGCTATAGTTTTAAAAATTGACATATTCATAAAAGTTATAGGAATGCATTTTTAGGATTCCAATCAATAAATTATAAAGTGAAAAAAATATTAAAAGCATTAAAATATAAATTTAAAATCCTAAATGTACAGTTATATAAAAACCTTTTACATTTTAAGTGGAAACACTTTCTCAATGTTTTGCAAAATGTATAATCAATACATATTTAGGAATAAATTAAATTCTCCTTAATTATTTTATACAAAAGTTCTTTCTCTTTTTTAATATATCAACGTCAAATTAAAATTTTCTTCTTTCTCCAATTAACTTTTTTTTTAATACCATTTTCACTTTAATGTAAACAAAATACTGTTTAATCAATATTGTTATATTCAATAAATTCATTAAAAAAAATAGAGATAATAAAATATAAATATAAAGACAGTAATAAAGAAACTTGATTGATTGATTTTGATGGCACACCCCAGCTGTGTAGATTGACAATAGTTCAGAGTTGAAATTCCACATACGGAATTCATCACGTTGACGTAAAGATCCTTCCAAAGATCCCAGCCGTTGATTTCTCATGGGGTAATTTCGAGGTTCAGTGATTTGATTTATATTGGTGTCAACTTTGGGATGGGAAATTTCGTACCCATTTCTATCTTACGAGTGTGCTTTGTTTGGCTTTCGTTGTAATTATTTATTCCGTTTGATTTTATCGTTTGGCTCATGTTAATGTTAATCACTTACTACTAATCCTAACACATTTGCATGTGTGTTTGACTTATCTTTTCCATTTTTTTTTCCTTTGACAAGAAAGCTATTCCCTACCACTCTAACAGAAATGTCTAGTCAGAAATTCGTAAGGTATTTTGAGTTTTTCAGTCTCTTTTAGGACAAACAGATGTGATACAATATTCCTCATAATTACCTGTATTTATTATATATATAATTTTTTACCAAACGCTGTTTATGTTCCATAGGTTATTATCCTTTTTTTATTTTGAAAAAAAAAAAAAACTAGCAACCATCCACTACCTTTGAAAATCTTGGCTATGTACCACATGATTTTGCTTTATTCGTTGACCTAAAAGCACCTATATTATTCTAGAAAAGAATTTGTAAACATTAAAATAAGACCAAATTTCATTTTTTCCAGAAAAAAATTGAGGTGGGTTTTGTCATTATTATGTATATAAAAAAATAATTATTCACTCATTTAAGAAAAAGAAATGATTATTAAATGAGATGAGAAAACAAAAAAGGCAAAATCAACACGTTCCAGAAGTATATGACAAATACATATACTGAAATGATAAAAGTGCTTCTCATGCTGCATATATAGTTTGTTTGAACTTTGAAGCAAGATGAACAAATATAAAAGGAAAAGAAAAATAAAAGAAGGACAAAAATAGAATATGTAAGAAAGTAATATTGTTTGTACAACTTCCCATGCACGTCCAAATGGCACCACAGACCCCATATTACTTGGCTCACAGGTAACCAAATTGGATTAAAGCGGAAACAGTGTGGGCCTTACATAAAGGGCAACAATGTCTTTTCAGTCATTGTACTGAGGGCAGATCTGTCATATTGTATTTTTGCAATAATGATCTCGCATTCACACAATATCCATTCACATTCACATAACATACTATATACTATATAATAATAATAACAAAAGAAAATCAGAAAAGTTTTTCATGGGGTCTTGCACAGTGATCATGACGACGTTGGCGTATGTAGCAGGAGTCATACTCTAATGAACAAGTCTTTCTAGAGAGAGAAAGAAAAAATGGAGGGAGAAAAGGAGGGAGAGAGAGAGAGAGAAACAAAGGTCAAAGTGAGGCAGTTGAGTAATTGTAACACCGTGATAGTACCCATTATATTGGCATTGGCATAGGTGTAATCATTTCGTGGAAGGTCAGTGCAAACAAGATCAGAAGCCTCCTCGTGATTTTTATCTGAGTAAAAGTGTTTTGGGTTTCTGCTTTTTGGGATTTCAATTTTTATTATATATATAAATATATTTTGGTGTGAATAGTTTCTCTTTCTCTATCCTTTTATATTTGGTTTTTCTCGTTGGCAACTCAAATTAAGGTACAGCAACCACCATCAGGTATTATCAGTGTGTGTGACTCCTAAGGAATTTGCAGAGCCCCTACCCATATTATCTTCGTCTTTTCCTTTTCTCTTCTGATATTCCTTTCTCACTCTCAGGATTCTGTGCTCTCTCTCTCTCTCTCTCTCTTTTGCTCCTTCTGTTTGCGTGAGGAGCAAAAAGAAGAGGGTCTTACTTTTCTATTTTGCTTTATACACATATATAATACACGATACAGGAGGTGGAAGGGTAAACAAACGTGACTAGAGTTTTGGTGTTGAGGAAGAGAGTGAAGATTTTTTTTACTACAGCGAGGATTTGGATATATATTTGGTGTAAGAAGATAAGAAGGGAAAATGGGTAGTTGTGGAAGAGAAGGAGCAGTAAGGCAGTATATAAGATCGAAGGTACCTCGTTTAAGGTGGACGCCTGAGCTGCACCGTTGCTTTGTTCATGCCATTGAAAGTCTTGGTGGTCATCACAGTAAGTGGTGTTTGGAAATTTGGATTTTATTTTTACTCTGAGGAATTTCGAATTAATTTTCCATTTTTTTAATAATTTTTGCAGAGGCTACCCCTAAGCTTGTTCTTCAGTTGATGGATGTGAAAGGGCTCACAATTTCACACGTCAAGAGCCATCTTCAGGTTCTTTTTTATTCTTTTTCTCTGCGGTTACAAACATAGATACTGTTTATTTGTTCCTTTTTTATAGAGTGAACATTTTCATGATGCATGCTCCACTCAACTTTCTTATTCGGTGTTTTTATTGGGTTTCTCTCTTTATCCAAACCAGATGTACAGAAGCATGAGAGGTGACTTGGGCAGACAAGGTACTGAACCTTCTTTACTGCAAAACACATGAACAAAAACCCTTCTTTTTAGTCCCTGATGATGATCATGGCTCTTCAATATAGTAATTCTATTTGTCTGTCATCCATGTCATACGTGGAAATTTTAGACCATGCTTTGTGCATTCAATGCGGATTCTTGTTTCTTCTCTTGGTACTTATTTGAAGTTCAAAAACAAAGCCATGAGCTCGCATTTATACACAAGTTTGGTAAATATGCGACTGCATTGCACATTTATTAGTCGTTTCTATGCCAAAATAGTGCAGGAAGAATAAGATGCTAATGTCCTTGTAAATCTTCCTCTAATGGGCATTTTGATGAAATCCATAACTTCTTTTGTGATGTTCATCCACAACCAAGTTCGTTATTGGCTTGTGTTGAAATCACAACGCATTAAATTGCTCTAATGTAAAAGCCTTATTTTTGACAATGTGGGGTATGTGTATTTTGTCAGGTAGGACACCCTCCCAACATAGAAACCAATCTTTTGAGGATCATGATGATGGGTGTGTTGATGAAGTGAATGATATTGGTGTTGAGTACTCTTGTTCGAAACCAATGGGAAGAGAATCTGATTCCTTCTTCGGCTACAGTAATTTCCCCTCAAAAAGGTTAACTTAGCTTTATTTTTTAGTTTTCCCTTGAAATAATTTCAGACTTTTCAAACGTCAAAAGAGAGTGGTGTGCGTGGGAGAGAAACAAAAAGGATTGGCATTTATTTTCCCTCGATCTTTTACTTTATTTTATTTTTTGTTTCTGAACAAACTTTAACTTTTTTGCTTTCTTTTGAAATTCCTTTTCGTTTGGATTCTCTCCTCAGAGCCAGAATCGAGACGAAGAGTTCCATCTCAGAGAGCCTGCAATGCAGCCAAAGATTATGTGATGCAGTCTCAAATCCGTACTGTTTTTATGATTATCTGCAGCCCATGGCTGAGCACAAAGGAATAAAGGAGTTCTGTGAAGCTTCAAGAATATGGCAGACACAAACCCATTCCTCTCTGCTACCACATTTTCCCAACCTCACTTCATTCAGATCTTCTAACCAAGAATCTGATTTCCTTCAGGTGCTCCATACGTTCCTCAACCAAACTCTCTTTCTTTTGTAGTACATAATTATTTATCTGAATGCATGTTTGCAAACCTATACTTGTTATAAAATATTTACTTGTATTTTTAAAGTTGTTTTACTATCATCTGATAATAATAATAATAATAATAATAATAATAATAATAATAATAATAATAAATGATTAATTTTTAAAATAAGTTGAACTAAAGGGTATACCTAGTACTGGGTAGAGTGTTATGTTGGCTATGTGTTTAATTTCACTGCCATGTGAGATGGCCAATGTGTAAGTTCCAAACACACTACTTTTGTTCAGTAAGATCTTACGTTTAGCCTGTCAAATATGCACAGCTTTTGGGATCACGTTGTGTGTTAAATGGGAAACCGTTGGTTAATTTCTCAGCTGAACTGTGCTTTCTCTTTCTCTTTCTTTATTTTAAACAATCTTAAATTATTAACGTGTTCACAGGTTCAGACCAGAAACTCTTTTGTTGTACTTTGTTATTAAAGATCTTGTCTTGAAATTATTTCCTTTTACCTTCTTTTGGAAAGCTAGGACTCCTTGGTTCCACCGTTGTTAAAAAAAGATCTGTTTACACTTTGCAGCTGTATTTTTTTTATTTTTTTTTTCGTATTATTCCGTTATTCTCACGAAGTTGGTTTTTTGAAATCTACGCTTGTGTGCAAAATGAAGTGGCTAAAATAAGAAAACGTGAAGCCGTGAACATTGGTACATTACTTTATGTAACATTTAATCGCCTTATGGAGTGGTTAGGGTGTTTTTGGTCCCCTTGTACGACTCAAACATTTTAGTGGGAATTTAGGGGCCTTGTGATTGTCCAAAATTTATCGTGGGCTGTATTGTGGCTGAAAGGGTCATCATGGCTTGTAATTTATACGATCCTTTGTCTCTCAGTTTTTCACATTCAGTGGTCCCTTCAAATTATTGAAATTCTGACTTTTTTAATGGAAATTTATCTGTGCCCTTTATTGCACCTATACGAATCCTTCTTTTCAAGTTACAGGTCCTATACTACTGGTTGAACTAGTTCTTCCCTCGCTATAAAATCCAAATCTCTATAATGTGATACCCATAAATGTTAGAGTGAAATACAATTTTTCATGAGAAATATTTTTCATTGCACAACTATTTTATCACTTCTGCTTGTGGTAGGTGCCCAATTGTAATCAATTATAAATTATAAAAATTAAGCGCATGTGAGGTGTGACTAGGAACATTATATTCATAATTTAAGAACTACTGGCATGTTTTCTTCATTTTTTTCTCTTTTTAGTATATTCATTGTACGTGTTAGGAATAGTGACCAAATGTGAGAATATTTTGTGGACACTAGTACCCATGCCACCATTTCTTATGTGTGTTTTCCACCTGTTGACAGGTTGCTAAATTTAATGAAGGAAAGACCACTTCACAGCCAATTAATGTACTTGAGAACACTGAGACAGCTCATAGAGAGGTTGAAGGTGTAGGAGGGTATGAATTGTCATTGTCGCTTACATTGCCAAATCCTTCCCCTCAGAGAAGCAATGCTTCTTCGGCCAGTGAGATCAGTGAAGCTATCTCCTCGTGCCCTGGGTTTAGCAACTACAAGAATTGCTCTAGTTCATCCAATGTCAAAGAAATAATTAATTTAGACCTATCTTTAGCTCTATGTGGCAGTTGATTTTAAGCTCATTGTATAATCAATCTACCTTAGGCATAGTCCAGTGTAGGTCTTTCTTCATTCCCTTTGTTAACAATTTTGGTAATTTTCTTGTTTCTACTGCGTACCTTTTCAGTCAGTATGTTAGTTAATATTTAATCTATTGAATAGCATCTAGTTTTTTCAAAATATGAGTTAATATAAAAATGAGTGTTTGAGAGGTTAATGCCGTGAGAAAGGCACTATATCTATTGGAATGCTAACTTAATTGTTGTGATTTGCTTAGGCGGAATGTTGGTGATTGTTTAAAAATTAGTAAATCTATAATTTATTCTTTTATCACTGAATTAAAGTATGAATCAATAAATTAGTATCAAACAATCAAATCATGGTTTGAGACTTCACCTAAAAAGTGGAACTTTTTCAACTCAGTATCTTTAAATATAAATTAACTATTGTTTATCGTGCTTTGGCTTCCACTGTAGGTTCAAAACAATGCAACGAATTGATTGCCAAACATGTTGGCTTAGAAATGGAGGGCGAGGTTAACTATTGAGATCGATTGGATAAGTTCTGATTAGGTATTGTAAATATAGTAGTTTAAACTTGATCTAGATAAGTAGTTCAAGAAATAAAAGGAGATTGTTGAAGTTTATAGAGTGCTAAGGGTACTAATCGTAGTCAAAGTAGATTATATTAATATCTTAGCACCCTCTAAATTAGGGTTTGGGATTATTAGTGTAGAGATTTCCATTAATTCATCTCAATAAATATAAATGATTTTTATGTTATTTTAGTTGATATATATCTCATTAGCATTTTAAAAAATAGATTAAAGATAAGATAAATATGCTAAGATTTAGAAAGAAGAAAAAATAAATAAATGAATTTTAAAACTTTCCTTGAGACTAGGAAAATGTTTTTTTTTTCTTTAATAAATACAAGTTAGCCTCCGTGACTAGTTGTGTGAGAAATCATTCTTGACAAAGTAGTACTTTTTTGTCCCTTCATGAAGATATTTATATTTTTTGAGATAACGTATACATAGATGTCAAGCAACATTAATTTTTTATGTTCTATTTCCATATTTCCACTGTTTTTTTGTTTGTGGATCCAACATGATGTCGGCTCAAACCCACAGAGAAATGGGTAAAATTGTAAAATACTAAAATGCAACAAAAACTTCTGGTTGGGAGTTGGGATGTAAATTCAATTGTTTGATTAATTTAAAGCCGTGTTGTATGTGCAAGCTTTATGCAGCCCACAGTCAAGGCGTATGTATCTATTAATTACATTTTTGGGATAATTTCGATTTCCAAATATGAGATGTGCATGCAAACTGGACACTGGAATCATATGTAGAGCATACTCATTTTTGCTTCTTAATCTTTAATCCTAGTTAGTAATTTTAAGTGACTAATGAGAATATTTAAAAAAAAATATTAATTATATATTTCAAGTATAGAAATATAATATTTTTTCATTTTTAATTACTTAAATTAACCTTTAAAACATATTAATGAAATTATTGTTTCAATTAATGCTTCATGAGATTTTCATCGTGGTCTCTGATAAACATCTCAAACTTAAATGATAAACTAATAACGAAAACTACGTGATCATAATCTTTGCAGCAAGAAAATCGTTATGGCAGCAACATCATCTTTGGATATCTCAACGTTAATGCTTGTTTTTTATTCCTTGGAGCAAACTACCACATATTATTATAAATTATAATGTGGTCCTCTTGTGAATTGCATTATTAGTGTAGCTAAGGGTGCTGGCATTTTGGTCAAAAGTGATGTATACCATTATGCTAATTGTTTGCTTCTTTGGTTCCAAGGTTGTGGACGTGTAAGCATGCTTTAGGAGTAAAAGGTGGCAGATTGGACTTCATAAATGAAAAGAAGAAGCTACTATTTGCTTTCAAAACTGACAAGCTGCTAGAGGTGTGCCTGATCTAACTTTTATAGTTACCATGTTTCATTGGACACATACCCTAATATTGATGATACTACTATATAGTCGTTAGGTAAGGTTTTCTACTTTTCATTTAATGACAGTCTAATAACTTAAATGATCTTTATCATTTTTGTTTGTTTGTTTGTTTTGTTAACAACAACCTTAAAAAAATAATAAATTCGTCCAAGTAAAACCATTTGTTGAAATAGCTCTATGAAATCTCCGGTATTATTCTTCACGATTGTTTCAACAGATCGTCAATGTACAAACTAGTAGCTTACAAACTTTGTACAATAGCTTATATTTATGTTTCCCATTCTTTATACGTATACTTTTTCAAATTTATGAAATGTGAAAATATCAAGTGAAAGTATATATCACCGTTATTAAATAAAATTACAACCACGTGTTTTGAGAAGGAATAAAGTGTAATAGTATTTTCACTGTTAAGAATAGAAGTTTTAGTTTGATATATAAGAATAAATTAAAGCGACAATATTTTTGAAATTATTAAGCAAGAATAAATAAAAGAGATAAAACATATGAAATTGAAGAGTAAAACTATCAAAATAAGTTATGTTAACAATCTATCAATTGAATTCAGTGTCAAAATTTAAATTTATGAGTTCTTAGTTTTGTATGTTAGCTACTGGATAAGTTAGGAATGATTAAATTTAATTAATAATATTTGAGAAAATAATAAAATAAAATATAAGATATTTAATGCAAAATAAGTTACAGGACACGTTAAGAATGATACAATCAAGAAAAGTCCCCATCGTAAAAAATGAGAAGTCAAAATTAATATATATTAATTGAAATGTAACTCTTTATATTTGCATTTAAGTTTAATAAAATAAATGAATAAATGAATAAATAAATGAGGCTACCTATACAAAATTAGTGTATATTACGAATAAATTTTTATCAATTTTTTGTTTGTTAACCACTACCTTAAAGAATTAATCAATAAAAGACTAAAATATAAATTTGATCCTAATATATACTATATGATTTTAATTTGATCTCTGAAGTTTTTCTGATTGAGTTCTATACGTGCAAAGAAATTTTAAAATAGTCATTGCCATTAGAGTTTGTCGTAACAATGTCTTTACCTTATTGACATGACAGTTATACCTTTTTGTGAAAGTATATGTTGATATTTATAAGTATCATACATTTTCAATTTGGTTCATATACTTATATAATAAACTTTAATTAATCCTTAATCATAAAACTTCTTTTAAAGTAACGCCTAATAATTTTTACAAAGATTAGGGACCCAATTTAAAATTATTATACATATAAGATCAAATTTTATAGGGACTAATGTCAATAGCCATTAGCCACGTTAAAAATGTAAATATTTAACTACAAATTCAAAACTTTATAGATAAAAAGAAACAACAAAAGTTTCGACGGGACCAATTATATTGATTTTTTAAATGAGCATTTCTCAATCGATCATCAAAATGTATATATCCATAATGCATATAGTATAAAATTTGAATTAATCCACAGGATTTCTTTCATCAAGCATATCGCAAAATCAGTGCATTACTTTCCAAACAAACAATACACGGCACTATCTAAAACATTAGAGACCAGTGAATATACGAAGGCATAACGCCATCAAAGTTTAACTTGAATAAAGCGTATTCTACTTGATTTCACAGATCACATTTAATATTAAGCCACATTAGGTAGAGTGGAGCAAAAGTGACTACACCTAGTACTTTATAGAAAGGGTCAGAATAGTGGGTTATTTTATTTCTTATTACTAGCTGGTTTAGGAGGGGATTGCACTTTGGCTCTTTCAATTTCCATTTGCAAGCTGGTACAAAATCCACCAGACATTTCCAAGATAAGAAACCTGACAAAGCAACATTGTCCACGCATTCTGAAATGAAACAGTAGCACCAGTCCCTCTCATTGAGCCACAGACCCTTTCATAGTATTGGAAGTAAGGGCCTTGACACACAGTCTAGGCTTTGTACTAATAAGGTTTCTGGGGAGGACAGAGACAGCAACCACCATCGACCCATTAGGTACTCCAGAAAGGGGCAGAAACTCAACAAGAACTGAGAGCTGCAACACATGTATGGCTTAGATCATGCATAAATGTGAATTCCGACAGCTATAATTTGTTTAAGGCAATAGTACCATATCTTTACCTCTGGAGACCTGAGATCCACTACTGAATCTTCCACAACATGATTGACTGCAGAAGCAACTACCCCAAAACATTTATTACGGTCCAATAAACTAAATACATCAGAACCATTTGGATTCTCTTTCACAAACTTTGTCTCTTCAATTCCTCTTCGGTTGTACCCAACAGCAAACTACAAGGTCAATTATAATTTTCTTCCAGTAAGATTACTAACAAGCATAAAAAATTCGATACTTAAATAGAATTTAACTCTGAAATTCTGACATAAACATCAAATTCATAGAGAAATTCTTGCCTGAAACTTATTTGGAAATACATTTGTTTAAGAAATCAATTCATTTACAAATAATACTGTGTTATATTTCATAATTTGTAAATCCAGTCACTTTTGATATTATTTGTATCTTATCTAATTAAAAATAAATTGTTTTCAATAACAAAGTTAAGAAAATTCCAAACAATGCATAAGTAATGGTTGAAAATGAAAACAAAATATCAACTCTGATTTCTAATAGAATTGGACTAGACTTAATTCAACCACAAAAGTTAACTCAAAGGGAGAGGATTGACCAAGACTTATGAGAAGTATTTTGGTCGTATTTTTTGCTAATATGGGTCATCTTAACAACTTCAATTACCATCACATATGTTGAAATCAGTAAGTAAGAAGCTACAGGCAGAAAACATTCAGCCATCAATCTGAGATCAGCTAGTATTGAAATTTTAATTGAAAGATGGACTCTTCTTTGGCAATGGGGAAGGAGAATGGGGTTCATGTATCTCAGGTGATGAAACTTGCAGAAAGAGTCCAACATAAGTTAATTAGGTTATGAAAAGCATGGCTCAATTGCAACAAAAAGGTAATACTTTATGAAACCTTTAGAGGTCGTTCAAGTTTGTCCTGTTTAGCATCCATGAATTTTTTAACAAGCGCAGATACTACTTCTTGTAGTTCTTTTTCGTTCAAACCACAGGTAGCTTGGATAGGGAAAATGCGATGGCACCAACTGCAGCAGAAAATATGCCCAGTGTAAGCATGTAAAAAAAGAACCACAATAAAAAAAATGACAACAAAAATATGCGAAAGAAAGTTTGGGAAGGTTCTGTGTTTAAGGATGAATTAGGGTTCAATTGTTTGAAACCTCAGCTCCCTCTAATATATAACTTGAGTACTTGAGCATCCATTAGACACTTAAATGTCAAGAGGACATGGAAAAAATGAATATAGCTGTGACACAAACATTCCACCTGGGCCACAGCAAGGCATTAGACCCCCATTAAGCCTGCCTCATCTAGGTGCCTAAGCTAGCAAAATAAGCTTCAACATTACTTGACACATACATAACATATCAAGCTATTTCCTTTTCATAATCAATAGCAAACATGTAGAAGGTAGAAATGAATAAAAGACATTCAATCAAAGACTGCAGGAAAAGTAGAAACAGAAATGCCAAAGTTTCAAGAACATCACATACTAAAACTCAAACCCAGAAATTCTAATAGCAATGAAGTTGCATGGAATGGTTTTCCGTGTAATTATTGTATAAACAGAAAATAGACAGCTCAACAGCAGGAATTCTTTCTTGGGGGAGTTCCAGGCAAGCCAAGCCAAGCAAAAAACAAGGACCAAGAGGGAACATGGTGTGTGTCAACTGGTAAATTAGTAAATGCAATCACTAATGCTCTGTTTAGATGCCGAAGAAGAAAAGCAAAAGAAAGGAAAATAAAAATAACATATACCTTTTTGTCTTGGTTGAAGGGAAAATGAAAAGAAAGAAGAAAAAAAATGCTTTAAGAAACAAAAATTGAAATTGTTTCATCCTATCATTTTCCCTACAATTTAAATCACAAATTTTTATCCTTTCCCTCACTTTCCTTCCGCTGTACCAAACAGAGCACAAGTGTTCTATTAACGGATTCCCTCTTAAACCAACATCTAGGCTTGGCTTGAATTTTCAAGATTGGCAGGGAGCACAGAACAAGGTATCATTGAAATACTAAACAGTGAACAAAACATTAAAACTAATAACATAAGCATGAACTGATTGATTTACTCACACTGGCACACTTACACTCCCAGACTCCACAGCTTGAATGATATTTGACACAATATTAACAGTGTCAGGCAATGAGTTATTGGGAAACGTAAAGAGAAGCAACCCATTCCTTGTCAGCTTAACCAAAGAAAGACCAGAAAGTTTACCTGACATAAGAATTCATAAACATTCTGTCTCTCAAAACTACAAAAAAGTAAAGTAAACAATAAACTGAATACCATCTCCAGAGTGGGTTTCCTCAGCGGAGATCCTCCTTTTCTTAGAAGTAGTATTTTCCAAACAGTCATCAACGAACTGCAAGAAAAGAAAAGAAAGAATTATTGGTTTCTTGATAGAGAAAAAGGAATAATAGTGTAGATGGGGACGAACCTTGTGAAGGATAGAGATGGCTTCTTTGGTTGCGCTTTTTTCCCGTTCTGGAAAGAGAGATTGGAAAGGGGCCATAAAAAAAGAGAGAAGAGAAAGAGAAAGAGAAAGAAGAAGGAGTGGTGAAGTTACTGATAGAACAAGTGATGAGAAAGCCAGAATGGGAGAAACGGAGAAGAGAAGAGGGGGCATTGTAGTCAAAGCGAGGAATGCTTATGACCGCAGAGTGTTGCTCCCATGGACTCATCCCCTTCTCTTCTTCTTCTTCTTCTTCTTCTTCTTCTTCGCGTTTTCTTGTGCCTGCTCCATCCTCCGCCATTTCTCTCCCTCCGTCGCTTCCAAAACCCTCTTTCTTACCAAAACCAAATTTTCTTATACAAATTCTTACATTGATTCTTTTATTTAAATTTAAATTAAATAAAAAATTTAGATTAAGCATAAAAAAATTTAGATTTATACTATTATAAAAAATTCATTTTCTTACTAAATAATACGATATGATTTACAAATAACTTTTATATTTAAATTATTTACATAAAAATTTGAAATATATATGAAAAATAAACTTTAGTATAAAGATAAAAATATAATTTTTTTCCTAAAGACCAGTTCGTCAATACTTTTTTAGGTAAAGATGAGACTGTAAAATTCTTTTATGTAAAATTTTAAATAAAAAAAAGTGATGCCTTTAATCTTTCTACATAACAATTTTTCATTTTATATTTGTTACTGAATTTACACGTCATCTGTAAAAAAATAAAAAAGTTACGAAAATTTATCTTATTTAAAAGTGTAAACATGCCAGATTTTTTTCTTTTCAGAAAGAAAGATGAGATTATTTATCATCAATATAAGTAGCCAAAGTAAAATATCTTTTTTTTGGTCATTCAAAATATCTAATATCTATTGACACCTGATTTCGTAATATTTTCTGAAATTGTGTATAATATAAGCCAGAACTAACCAATGTTTGAGCAGCCCCTACGCATTAATAATAAAATGAAAAATGCAAGTATAAGAGTAAAACGAGAGAGAGGATATTGAGGAACAACAGTTTGGGGAAGCTGACAAACCTATTCGATTCCAAGGCTACTGTTTCATTCTACAGCTGCCTAATTGTTTCCGCACAGTAAAAATTGGGGTTATCTTACTTTGTATAACCGGATTATGTCACTGCAACTCCATTTCTCGTGATATTCATGGAGTCTATAAAACTTTTTATTTATGTAAAAGTAACACGTCTTTTTTAAAAAATTAATAAATCTTAGAAAACTCATCAATTTTTATAAATAGAAGATCTTATAAGTTAAAATAGTTGGAGGATTTAAAAGAATATGGGGCTTGAAAAATTATTAACCCTGACAAATAGTCACAAGAACACTCAGCATTGTAGTTTTAAATTAAATTATATTTTAGCATAAAATATATTAGACATATCATTTGTCTATGTTTCAGTTTAAAGATTTTTGAGACACTGACAACTTCGATATAATCAGTCATGTAATTAGTTTCAATCAATTTATAAAATTAATAAAACAAAACTCGATCAAGCGAAGCAAAACTTAAAGTGAAAAACTGGCTTGAACTGCTCAGTTTATAATACCTTTTAAATAGACAGAAACACATGATATGTATATACAAATTATTATTAAATTATTTATTATAATTTTTAGTTTATAAAACATGTTATATGATATTTTATGCTAATTTAAAATTTTAGTTAACTTCATTTTTGTAATTTTATATTAATTTATTACTAAATATTAAATAATATTAAAAGTGTATATTTTATTATAGTAAATTCTACCATAATATAAAAAAATATTATACTTTCTTAAACGTAAAATAATTATGATTATTAATTTTATACCAGTAAATAATGAAGTTAGTAATTTATTTTAAAAAATATATATATCATTTAATTTTTAAAATATTAAAAAAATCATAATCCTTATATATAATGTACTCTCAAATTTAGGAATATTATAGCAATCACCTTTTATTATTATTAGTTGGATCCAAATTCAAACACTGGTTAGGACTTTTGTGCAATCCTTCCAAATGCAAATACTCTTCCACATTCTCAATCTTTTACAGTTTCCTCGAGCCCCTTCTGACAACCAGTAGTCAATAATTCATACATCAGAAGTTTAAATACAAAATCTTTCATATCGCTTCATTCAGTAAAGTGTTGGTATCAAGTTACTCAGATGAAGCTTCCTCCTTCTTTGCCGACAGATACCTTAAAATGAAAATTGCAAGAGATACAGACTTTTGTCAGTAAACTGAAAGGCACAAGTTAAAAAAAATGTCTAATAATGCATAAAAGAGCAGTTCAAATTGAGATATAATGGAAAGGAGAAAAAGAGCACTCCCCCATGGGGGGCCAAATTTAAACAAACAACAAAATTGTGAGGGAAATGTTAACAAAATACTCTTTCCAAAGTTATCTCTATCATTGGGTAAATTTCATGTGAATCCCACTAAAAATCTAGGGCTTGCTCTTCATTTAGTAGGACTCGTGTGAATAATAGAATGTGAGACAGAGTATTCCTAAAATCCTCAAATAGAGATTGAAGTCAGCAGAAACTACAATGAGTAAGTGTGCGATAAATCATAACAAATCAAGCGAATGTCAGAATATGGCCGTCCTTATATACAAGATTAGACAAAGTATTGCCAATTAACTAGGCCTCGTTTCCTGATTGGGCTTGTAACTTGAAGAAATCTCTTAACACACCAGATTCAAAGAGAGTACCTAGTGGTGGAGAATTAAATATTAAGGTGGATGCAGGTAAAACAAATTCACAGACAAAAGTGTCATTCATAACAAAAGCATCACACAAATTAAAATGACATTTATAACGCATGAAACATAAACATAACAGAGGGGAATGCCAAATAAAACTGGTGTAAATCATGATAAAATACATTTGCTTGCACTTTCTTACCCCTCTGCCTTTGCCCAACGGGAGAGCTGATAGAGTTGAACAGTCTCATTTGAGGCATGACACGCCAAAAGTAGATAGTTGCGTGGCTGTACCATCCATGCAAATCTCATAAACAATGCGGAGTAGACACACATTGCTGCAGCATTAACAAACGCCATGCAATAAGCAACAGTCTATACGCCAAGAAAAAATTTCAACATTTTGAGGGAATAGAGATGTTAAACCTGCTGTCATGTTGCCGGATATCATTTCTGGAGGTTTGTTCATGTCAGCCAATCCCTTTCAATAAAAAAAACTTCACATTAGTTTAGAAATCAAAGATTAAGACCAGTGTGTATTGTGAATAACTAGTCAAGTAAATAAATCTGGACTTTTTCAACAATATAAACAGTTAATTGTATGAGTGAAACTCACAGCTGCCACAAATCCCCAGTTGGCAACAGGTCCCCAAAAGTGAGTTGTTTTGGGACCAACTGGACTGTTCAAGAATGCTCTGAAGGAAGCCATATGACACCAATGCTACTTCTGATCTGCCATAACAACATTGTAAGATGATTTCAACAGAGCAGAAATACAAAACTACAGTATGTAGATGCAAACATTCACTTAATTTTAAAACCCAAATAGTAAAAATGTACCACCAAAAATTAAAGTGGTTCTAAAAGACTAACGCCCATGAATCCTTCTCCTTCTAGTTACAGAATAAATCCCGTTGCATCTTATAGCTACCAATCCACTCACAGATCAGAAGAGAAAAAACAGAGGTCAGCAATCACCCACCAGGGGAGACTTGTGTTAAAGTCTAGCGTTGTTGTAAGTCTTCTGAATCTGATATTGATGATTATCAAAATACTTAATATAGTAGTAGTAATGCCCAAAAACAAAAAACAGAAAAGAAAAACTTTATCATGAACTCTCTCCGCCATTTGATCAATTTCAGATATTGATTGTACCGACAACGTTTTCTCAAACTAAAGAGCCCTACACCACTCCCAGAAGCAGCCATTATCAGGAAAAAAAGAAAAAAAAATTACTAAACGATGACCACTGAGACGGCATGCAACAATTTTATCAAAATGATTATTATTATGTACAAAGAGCAAAGAAGATATACGACTACAAATATCTTATCAAGCATATGCGTCTCAGATCAGAAAAAAAAAAAAAAATCGTACAAAACAAGATTTCTTCGCTTCTCCTTTCATTTGTTTACTTTCCATTCAAATTATACGAAAGAAAAATGCCTCTGCCCAGACATTCCACAAACACTGCATCACATAATACCGTTGCAATCCCTTCCACTTCCATTAAAATAATAAGAAGATAGCAGTATTCATCAGTTAGTAGATTTGTAATTAGATTCAAGTAATTATCAGTCAATAAACTTGATACAAGCAATTAATGAAGTATTATAATCATAATTCTAGAGGGATTTAATTAGGTCAAATAATACACGAGTTTACAGATAGCAGAACATAAAAACCTTAGAATTGTGCGACAGAATGAGATAAAGAGATTGGGGAAGCAAAGAGAAACCTAAAAATGAAATCGAAGAGAGATACCAATGCCGTTGATTTTGGAAGAGAAGAACAGCGCCAGGTTCGAAGTCAATACCAATGCCGAATTGCAGATACGGGACCGGAGAGGATTTATTGCTTTGGCTGCAAAACAGTGACGTAATGAAACGACATCGCCTTTTGCGTTTCATCTCTTCAACGTGCAAACACTGTCTCTTATGTGAAACGAGGGAAATCAAATAAAAAATAAAAGTAATAATGATTGAAAAAATAATATGCTAAATTGTTTTCAAGAGAAAGGAAGATGTTTGTAAGATTAAATTTAAACTTTAAGTGTTTAAACGCACCATATATGAATGTTTTTAAAGTTTATATTTAAACAATTTAAACATTGAAAGTGAAATTAAGTTACATGATCACTCTATTAAACAATGTTAATGGGGAAGATGAACAATTTAGTATTTTTAAGGTTAAACTATTAGATAACAATTTTTGGCAAATTTAAGATAAGCATGATGTTGATGCATTAACATGAATTGACTACAACATTAGCATATTCCTTAAAAAACTGTGTTTTGTCTTTATGTTGGTGTATATTAATTAATTAACAGTTATAGATTTATTTTTTTTTCTAAAAGTAATAGACAAATTTTGATAGCACATTAAGTGTCATTTAACATGTTTAAGTGACACTGACTTAGATACTTTTTTTAAGGATTGAATAAAAAATAAAACATGTAAGTCAAAATTTATCTTTATTCTTATTAAATGGGACGATTAAATATAATTTTATTGAATATTTGTTTGAATTAATTTTAAATTTGATAAATAAAACTTATTTTTTATTAATTAATTTAAAAAAAAATAGTTTAGACTATAAATATTTTACATTGAAAATAATTATGTTTAAGTCAAATAAGTATAGATGGTTCTTTTAATTTGTAAAAGTATAATAATAATAATTATTAAAAATAAAGTTAAAATTAAATATTTTAATAAAATGTATTTTTATTCTTAAATTAATTATTTTTAAGATCATTGATGTTTGTCACTTTTTATAAATTATATGGCTTAAAAATATAATTTCATGATTTAAAAAGAGTTTTTTTTTTCAATTTTAATGAGAGTTGCGTTTGAATTTTTTATCCTCAGCTCTTCTAAATTTAAGTGTCTGCTCAATCTTTTGTAAATAGTAATTTGCAAATAAATATTTATAAAAAATATATTTTTAAGTTTTAATGAATTAAAATAAAACAATTTACAATAAATAAAAATAAAAATTCATTTATTTTATTATTTTTGATATTTATTAAAAAATTTATTCAAACTAATCCAAATCAATCTGACCTTTGATCCAACCCACTGTCGTATCCAATTAATTTGGTCTTTCAAAGATTACATCGTGAATTAATTTAAAACTCATAAATGACTTTAAAAAACAAACTAAGAAAATATTATTGTTTCTGAAAAAAAAATACTACTAACATTTTTTTAGATCCAATTTTAAATATTTAAAATAATAAATTTTCAATATAAAATATTTATTATACTTTTAATTCATACTTTTATTAATTTTAAATTTTAAATATTTAAAAATAATTTTTTTATTAAAAATAAATTTATTATATTAAAAATATAAAAATGTAGCAGATACTTTTAACTTAGACTAAAATTAACAAAATTATTTTTTATATTTTAAATAAAACATTAACCCTTTTAATTTAATGCATCAGTCTCTGATAGAACTAAACCAAGAGAAACAGCATCATCGTCTCCGTTCTGTCACACCACACATGACCCAACAAGTGTTACGGCCTCTAAGACAATGGCCATGGTTGCATCACAGTTCTCGTGTTACAGTTCCACTACACCACCACCATCGTCATCATCATCTTCTTACCCCTTCACCTGAACCCACAAAGGCAACATCAACCTCTCATCGTTCCTCGTTTGCCACGCTCGCTTCGTCTCGCCGAAACATTCGATCACCCAACGTTCCACTCCCCACAACAGACTTGGATTTAGAATCCAAGAAGAGTCGCAATCAATTGAAGCGTGAAGCAAAACGTGCTGTAAAGTGGGGAATGGACTTAGCTTCTTTCTCTGCTCCCCAAATCAAACGAATCCTTAGGTTTCTTGTCGCCATTTGGTTTCTGAATGTACCCATTTCCTTTTTCTGAATGCCCACTTCGAAAAGATGCAATTTTTGCTCAAAAGCTCGTGTATTTTGTTCTGGGTTGCAGGGTGGCTTCTTTGGACCAAGTTTTGTTCGAAGCTCTTATGTTGGTTAAGGTGCTCTTTCCTTTCTGTTTCAGTCATGATGGAAGTAGTTTATCTATTTTGTTTGTTTTTTTATGCTGTGAAAATATTATGGTGGATGAATCTGTTGTTGAAGAGAAGGTGTTTGTTGTTTTGCCACAGAGACTTGGACCCGATGTCCGCGAAGGAAGGCGAAGGCAGTTCAATTATATTGGTAATTGCTTTGAGACCATTTTGATTTAGAAACAGCAATGTTTTGTTTGAGCTATTTGGGTTGACAACAGTCAGCATATATGTGGATTTATTAGTTCACATGTTTGAAACAATGTTATGTTATTTTAGGGCCTGTTCAAGTGGTTGGGAGTTTTCAGGTTTTGATTTTCAAATGCAAATTTCAAAATAAAACAGTATTACTTCAATTTTTAAAACTAAAAAGAGTAGTTTGGAATTTTGGTTTTTAGTTGTAAAATAAATCATTATATCATGTGTTTTTCCACTCTTTCCAATTTGTTTGGCATTGTGACTTATGAGTTTAGACTGTAGTCAATCAGTATATGTGTGGTAAGTTGATATGATATAATGTACATGCTGCAGTGCAGATTCATGTTCTTCGTACATAAATTGTCACAGGAAAATTGTTGCGCGAAGTGGAACCTGAGTTAATGGATCGATTAATTCAAGCAACCAAAGATTCTAATCACAAGGAGCTGCAAGCTTTAACTGGCTTAGGGTCTGACGACGTTGAAGACGGTGATGACTTAGTAGAATCTGAATACGAGGAGGATGAGGGGGTATTGGTTCATACTTGAATTTTATACTGACAAAGTTGAACATTCTACCCCTTTATCTTCTCATTCTCCAACACAAAGGGGTGTTGTTTGCTAAATCTGTCGTGTTCTTATTTTTTGAATCATCTTATCAGGACCCTGATTGGGATGATAGTCAAGTAACAAGGTGGTTTGATGGTTTGATCAATAGGGACACTGAAATCACCAATGAAGTTTATTCGGTTCAGGGAGTTGAATTCGATCGTCAGGTAATACTTTGCTCTATGCTTTGAAACATGGGCTTTCAGAATCAGATCAATTGCTTATGAAACACACATTATCTTGCATCATATGCTAATTAATTATCCACTTTCTTTAATCAGGAGTTGCGAAAGCTTGTACGTAGAGTACACTTTACTCAAGAAATGAAGGCTGATAACGAAGAAGACGAGAAAAAAGTAGAGACAGCGACAATTGGGGCTGAGAAGGCTCTCACTCGTTTCCTTCGTACCCTTTCAAAGAGAATGCTTAATGAATATCAATACGTCAATTAACCGCACCAAAAGTGCGAGAAATGCATGGTAAGACTTAAACCATACATTGTATTTGTGAGAAACATGCTACGGAAAGCCATCTATTAATTTTAATTTGAATAATGAAGAATCTCATTTTTTTTTTTTGGTTAAAATTTGGACATCAAACCGTATTGTTGTGCTCTTAGAATATTGGTGTCCATTTAATACTTCAAATTTTTAGTCCTCTTTTCTTTTCCTTTCTATTTTTAGTCATGTCTTTTTCTTACGGCAGGATGTCTCGGTTAAGCAAACACATGACTCAGACTACAAACTTCATGGGTAAATCATTAAACATCAGGAAAAAAAAAAACACGAATTCTACAAAAATTGAAGTGATATCAGAAAATGCATTTCGAAGTCACTTGATATCCGTGTTGTGCTGGAAATATATTCAAAATCTAATCTATATACCTTTGACCTGGCAAAAGAGAATATCGTGGATAGCTACGTAAATCTGTGCTTAACCAGATGGATATATCTTTGAAGTGTATATTGTGGAATGGCGGTTGATTTTCCCTTAGAAAACAACAGTTCATTTGGTAGTGGCGAAAATTTCGTGCTTGGACAATAATGAAATCTTGTGTTTTCATAACATTAAACTTTTTAATCAAAATGAACTTTTTCTAACATTGATTAACTTTCATCAAGAATATATTTTGAGGTAAATTATATCTATACTGATTGATTTGACAATTTGATCGGTGTAAGAATCTAACGGAGTAAATTACAGGAACAATTGACCCAAAGGGGGAAGTGTGAGTGCATATTTATAATTTCCTATAAAACACTTGGCCGCTTATCTTCCTATATCCCATCCTTTCCTCTTAGAAGATCCGAGGCCCCATTGCACTAAAATGAAGAAAAACAGGGAGGATTTTTCCTATTGATCTTTAAAAATGAAGAGAAATTTATTCCTATTAGTAAATTCACATCACGACGAGGAGTTGATGCCTATTAATCTTTTTTTTTTTAATTCTAATCAAAGACTACCGAAATCTGAATGCTACATTAAAGATCCACGCTATTACACGGTAAAACACTTAATCTAAATTTTTTTAACAATACTATATTTTCAAAAACTCAATTGAGATCTTTAATTAAGCTAAAATAGTCTCCTTGATCTACGCTTTCAGAAACTATTAGTCTTAATTTATTTTCACCTTAACCATGAATCTATGAAGATGTCTGAAAATCCTAAATGCACGTCGATCAATATTTTCATCCAAACTATACGAATTCTTTTATTTCGCCTTTCTAGTTCCTAGCGTCTCTAAATTTGTTAAAATGACGAGACACATTTCTACAATCTTTCGCATGAAAACACATGATTGCTCATAAAACTTGATTTGTCATCTTAACTATAGGACCAAAAAAAAAAAAAAAAACTTGTCACAAAAATCCAACTATCCCCAACTTCAATTAAATTATACATGTACATCACCAAAACATAGCAAAAACTTGGGTTGTCTGGTTTTCCTCTGACAAATGCATGGCATCTGAATGCGCATAAATATGCAGAATCTCGCCTATCCTTGGGGCTTAGGGTTTGCTCTATCATTTAGGTCTAAAAGCTTGCAAAAATGAAGCACCCATATAATACTTTTTACGATGTCATTTTATTTTGAATTTGCCTATGAACATGGATAAGAAACTCTACATAGGAGAAGCCACCTGCGTTCTTGTCTTCTATCATATATGAGAAGAATAACATTCCTGACAGATTGCAAATAACATAGGTTCAGTTCAAAAATCAAGAACAATGTACACCATAATCATAATCTACAGATTGCTTTCTTCTATTTTGAATACTTCCTAATCTAAACTAGTCTAGAATCATACCAACAGGTTATAAAATGCTTGGCATCAAAGGTTATATAAACCGTTGAGCAGGTTTAAAAAGTCAGGACGAATGCTTGGCATCAAAGATCATAAAATAACGAAACGTTCACTAGTGTGTTTGCATTAAAAAAAAAAAAAAACAGAAAAGCTTGCTTGGTGGTGTGGATGTCTAAATGTTATAGTGAACGCCCTCAAGTTTTGGACACCAAGTACCAAGAAGCAATGCTTTCCAAGAAAACATAGAGCACTGGTTCAAGTGGTAAATATTACTAAAGAGAGTAAGCAACATGTTTAAAGGCTATGCCATTGAAACAATGAACTTCTTCAAAAGACAGGAAGAAAATGAGGATTGGAGAATGAAGCCATGTGGTTTCATGTTCTAAATTAACTTTCATCTGTTCATGCTAAATACTTAATCCAGACAGTATTAAGCAATCAAGTTTAATGCAACCATTCTAAAGCACTGACCTGATGGATCTCCTTTCCTGCAGAGCTTTAACCTGCCAGAGTTGAGAAGATTATTTAAAATTTACATTTCATTAGCTATCAGATCACACGGAAGATTATTCAAGGTATGATATTATTGAAATATGCCATAATGGTCCAAACAATTTGCTTACCTGAGGTAGGAACACCTTTGCCGCCGTATCTCATTTACCACTTCATTTAACTTTTTCGATAGTGGATTGTCTTGTTGCTGCAATACAAACTGATAACATATAATTGTTAACTTCACTTTGCCAGTTCTGAACAATATAGCACTTAAAAAAGTAATATGATTAATAACCATTTTTTTAAGCACTCAAAACGAGTTAGTGTCCTAAAATACACCAGGCAGTATGCTTTAAGGATGATAGAAAATTCCCATGAAAACAACCACTGATGGGGATAGAAATTACCAGAGTAGGAATTTCTTCAACTGTAGCAACACCAAACAGTTTCCGCACAATATCTGGATTCACAGAGTCTCCAACATATATCAAACAATCATGACCATTCTCAAGAAGATATATTCCATCATCACTGATTTGTTCACTAGAAAGAGGAAGGAAGGGAGGAATGACAGATTCTTCATCTTCCTGAAATTTATAAAAATCTATTAGTGTTTAAAGAAGTAAAATAAACATGAGATCAGGGGCAGACACTTGTGTAAGACACAAAATGACTATGTCAAAAAATAACCATTTAACCCTTGTCATTGCCTAGATTATTATGCTCACAAAAATTCATATGGTACATCTGTGCATATCAAGTTCTGATTAAGCAACAGATAATATGCAATTGAAAAAAATGTTTCATATTGAAAATCATAATTTTTAACATGATTAATAAATATACCTTTGAGTCAAGATCATGGATAGCCACCATTCTCGGATATACAAGTGGTATTGCCAACGGAGCAGAGATAGAGGACACATAGTTTATCCAAAATGACCGTTCATCTATCTTTCCCTCTGTTCGCAACCCTGTACTCTTAGTTAATGCTGAAAGAGAAATGAATAATGAAATTAGCATCCACTTGTAGAAGGCTTCTTAAGGAGATCATATCATCAAAATTTAGAACATAATTAATCTAGTTGACCATTGACAAATCAAACAAATGTATATCTGCTTTGACAAAACCCTATTTCAAAACAGCAGGACTGGCATAAATGCGAAATCAATGGCCGTTTTAAAGCATTATCCAATAAAATGCAGGAAAATTTCTTCTAAATGGTATCTTTTAATTTTAAGAATTTTGATCATGTTAGTGGCATATCAATGTAGGAGTGGAACAGTAAAAATGAACAAATAAAAAGAATAGAAAATTGATTAAAGATGTTCTGTCTGGTATGCTAGGTAGAATGTAACAAATAAATAAACTATGTCAAATAATTAATATCTTTAGTTTCACAGCACTGTTCATCAGAAATAGTTTGCAATGCCTGAAAAATTCATACCTAGGGTATAAAGGGGTAAAAGCTTTAATGCCTCCGGTAGAATAAGTTGTCCAGATGAAGATACCGTAGCACAAAATTTACGGTATGAAAACAGTGCGTTGATGCAAAGATTTGTAACTTGTTCCCGAACAAGTGGGAGTGGTTTTGAAGGAATCTCACTAGCAGCTACAGAAAAAAAGGGTGTTAGAATTATTCTACTCAAAACTTATATCTGTAAACACATTCTAAAATATAACGGGTATGACAGTATCAGGGAAATGTTTACAATATATAAAGCAAACAAATTCAATATAAAGCTGTTAACAGTCAATATCAGGCAGCCTTAAATGTCAAAAACAGAATAACCCAATGGCAATGCACATCAACAATAAATGATATACCTTGCTTCAAGAAACAGCAAAATTGAGTATCCAAGTCAGCTGCACGGAACAGATTACTGAGCATACTGGTGACAGGCAGAGACAAGGTTATGACACGTATTCTCCTTTGGCCATATACGGTTGTGTAAAGAAGAGCACACTGAATAATGGAAAAGGAATATATAATCAGAACCAAATAAGCAGAACATATTCACCCACAGAGACTAAAGTTTCCAAGAGTAGTACAAGGTGATCTGCAGATCATAGAGACCCTTGGCATAAAGTAGAGCAGTAAAGTTCTCAAATACCTGAAATGCGCATTCTGATCCATCCTGTAACTTATCATCATGTTTCAAAGTCACCATGAAAGTTTTGTCACAGTCAATCTGCAAAAAAGAGAAAGAAGGACACTGGTTAATCATACGAAAGTATGCTTTAAGGATTCTACTTTTGGTCAATATGAGAATGATGTTATACCACTTGTAAGTAAATAAACAGATAGACATCATATCAGATCTTATTTATATCTATTGCTAGGAAACTAATCCAGCCATATCACCCTTCCCACCTCTTTATTTGTTTCCAAGCAAGTTGATTGCAAATAAAATAATTCTCATACATTAAAATCAACTAATAAGATGAATTTTAATTGTTTTATTTTCTTATTTTCTTCTCCTCCAAATATTTCTGCATAAGCTTATCCAAACTGGGTCTATATCTCTTTGTTATGCCATAGAGTTAGTGATCATATTGATTGCATCTACCCAGTATACAAAGAGCTTGTGCAATTACAGATCACTTGTACAAACCCAAATTTTAGAAGCCTTGTTCCAAAGAGGATTATGCCCGAGTTTAAACAATACTTTAACTATATCTCAATTATCATTTATCGTATATCAACACATCAGTCACATTATACAATATAAACTGCAAACAGATCTCAATATCATTTAACCATCAATGTTTTCATGCACAATCTCACAGCTTATAGTCGCATATATACACAGATTCTTAAAAAATATACAGACCCCAGGTAGGTCGACATCAGTTGGGATGCGTTTACAGAAGTTGCCATAGTATTCCTGTACTTGGATACCCTGACCAAAAAAAAAAAAAAGAGAAATGAAAAATGAAAAATGAAAAATTGTAGAGCTGATATATTCCATGACAAGGTAGCAAAGAAAGTAAGACAAACAAACTACCTGACTGCACCTCACACGCATTACAGCCTCAAAACCTTGTGGCCTAGTGATATTCCATCTAAGATCGTTGTAAAGTTTTGCAGGATCAGAAAGAGCTGAGAATGGGTAATAGTAATAGACCTGGAAAAAGGTGAGAAGTTACTTCTATAACTAAAATGTTTTATGAAAAAAGACAATATAAATGCAGTAAGTGCAATAGATTAAAACATGCATTTTTAATTGCTAATAAATATAAAATTTCAAAAAATATATAATTAATTTCTCATGATGTAACTTTTGACTAATGAAAAATCATGGAAGCCTTAACAAAGACAGACCATTGCAAAACCGTTCAATATTATAGTTGATGCTGCCTCTATCGTCAGATACAGCAATCGGTAGTTATTATATATTTATGATATGCTTTTCAATTACTTCCCCCCTTTAACCCCATTTCCTTCCCATTTAAACTTTCCAGCATGTGGCTGAAAGTGTTTCCAGCATTTTCAGAAAGAAAGATTTATAAAAGTAGAATAGATTAAAAGTAACATTTATTTTTTCATCATTACACCAAAGATCAGATCAATGTAAGAGAAAACATTGACCAAAGATGATTCACATTTAGCATAAAATGCAATGAAGGCTGACAATTTAATCATTTACTTACACAATAGAGCCATAAAAAATTCATGTATACCTGTCCACCAGTAGTTCGTGGGATGACAGACATGGAAGCAATGTCTACATAAGTCTGAGTAGTCACAAATACATCAACACAAACCTGCAGAATTACAAAATAATTATATACTTAACCGATCCATTTCAGGCTGACAATCAAACAAACTCACAAGAAAAATCAACAAGTAACTTCAACCAGACATAAAAGTAATGCCTAAATCCCAAGTAAGAGTACTTCAGATTGACCTGATACTCAGCAAATTCAACGGCCAGTTCCTTGAATACTTTATCTGCTGGTTGAAGTAATTTATGGGCTTCCTGAAATTCAACAAGAATGGGATTTCATTGAAGCATGTGCAAAAACTATCTGTACCAGACTGTTAAGAGGTAGAACAGATAAAACAATGCAGAGTATCAGACGAATCATGGATAATTTTAGTATATTATGCACCTGAATATTTTACATATTTTTCTAATATAAAACAAATGTCAATATTACATCAACGAAAGTTGGTCTCCTTTCCATTTCCATCACTAGATACCATTGGACTTGCAAATATGTGAAAATAACCTCATGTCACCATCTATCAAGCTTTAGCTTATAATAACGGCATAAAAATAACAAATTGATATATTTTCTATAACAAAGAAAACAATATAGCAATTCAATGACAAAATTGAGATGATTACCTTATCACCTGCAGAGATGTTTGTTCTACCTTCAGCCTCCCGTGCAGATAGTGCACAAATGCCTAAAGATGGCAAGACTGAAACAATAGAATAAAATCATAAGAAACACCAAACATACTCGATGATGAAGCAAACAATATAACACAGACACGGTCTCACAGAAAATAAGGGAATAAAGAAGTGGACTAGGATAAAAACAAAATGATGACAAGAAACTGAACAAAAAATTAAAGGAAAAGACCCAACCAAACATACAAATGAAGATCTAACCCCCAAGGCCAAACAAAAATAATTCCAACAAAATTATAATTCTAATAATACATTCTTTAATTTGTTTCAGGGCATGTTAAAAAATTTAATTGCATAAATGATTAATCGCAGGACCAATTATTACTTTTGCAACAGTACGCTTTAGGGAGCATTTGGAAGAGTTTATGAAAATAATTTATGACTACCATAAGTTCTTTTTAGATTATTTTGATAAGTTACTTGATATAGCTTATTAAAATAAGTTATTTTCAATTTATTCCAATAAGTTTTATGGTCAAATTTGTGGTATATCCCCTAATGTAGTAAGAGCTTATTGAATAAGCACTTAATTAAGGTGTATACTCATGTATCCTTAAAGACAACAAAAACTTTGGATTAAGTTAATGGTGTTTACTAAAGACTTCTTTCATGCTGCGTCAACAAACCAAGTTAATTCTTTTATTTATTAATTTTTTGTCATTATACTGTTATTGAAATGCAACTTTTTTTTAAAGAAAAGACATTTTCTTTCATTTCAACCTTAAATTGCATTACAAGAGAATTTTGCCTTTCTGAATAATTGTCACTTTTTAATTTAGATGCTTCCCTTAGTCAAGCTACATAATTCCAAAAAAGAGGAAAAGGAATTGGTCATGTAACAAATGTGGAAGATGAATTCTTTCAAACATGAAAATTAACTTAACATGAATTCTGATATCCCAACCATCATGACCAACTTGGGATGTTCATAGCAGCAAATATGCAATAGAAACATCATTTAGTTAGCAAATATACAACCTGAGAAGCTCACCTGACTGGAAGACCATCAGCTTCCCTCCAGTGTCCTTCATGGCAAGGAAAGCTGCCTAGAAAAAGAAACAACAGTATAAGCGTTCACATATTTTTCAAATACACATTTTGATTTGTCTTGAATAGAGGAACATGAGTCAAGTTGTCAAACTTAGTGAGAAGACAGTAAAAATAATGGTAAATGACAAAAATATCCTATTAGGAATCCCTTGGTTACTAATACGTGCACAAGAGAATTAGGAAGGGTAATATGAGAACAGAGAACCAAAGCATTGAATACAATGTAAAGGGCAAAAGAGAGATTTGGGATTTGGGGTGTAACAGCTTTGCTTACATGGTAAGGGGTGTGGGAACTGGTAAGCAAGGAGAAAATGATTAGGAACAAAGTTACATGATGGGAGGAATCTACTTATTGAGTGTTAGTTTTATGGCCTTAGGGCAAGAAGGAAGCAGAGCAGTAGAAGAGTCTGCAACCACTTTCATTTCTATTCTTGTTTTGCTTCCGTTTTTTAGGGATAACAGAGAACTGTCACTGCTGTAAGAAGTTTATTCTCCATATTTTCTTAAATAAATTCAATATAACATACTTGCATTCACAAGATAAGAAGAATGACATTAGAAGAAAAGTAATAGATAGGCAAAGGATAAAATGTTAAGACAGAAGGGTAATTGCTTGGAAGAATAAAGGTAAGACAGAGTAGTTAGTTCAGACAGTTAAAACAGTTAGTTTAGTTATAGGGGACTTAGTTAAATAACAATGGGGAAGTAAGGGGATTCATTCAGATTTCACGGAATTATATTTGAGAGCAAGTTCACAGTTGCAAAAGGAGAAACCCTTTGAGAAGGGGAAGTCCTTGGGAGATATCTCTCTCCCTGACAAGTTCACTATTCAGTTCGTTTCAATCAAAATCAAGCAATAAAACAAGTTTTTTCTTTCGTTTCCAAGGTAGATTCCTAACAATAAGCCATCCCTATAGACCCCAAACAGAACCCATGCAAAAATAAATAAAATAACAAAACCTTTCAACTTCCATGCATACTACAACAAAGATGCCCTATGAAACTTAAAATGTTACATAGCATAAAGACAACCAACCTACAACAAGGAACATTGACGGCAGGTTTAAATAAAACTTCATAAATGTACCAAGGAAGATATGCAGAAGCAAGTTAAAGAGTTCAATTTACTCCTTTACTATCCTTCCCTTCCTTTTGATATCATATAAATGTATTCATTAAGGATTCAAAGGAGCCTTTGGATATATGAATATAAAGAAAATCTAAAAAGCAAGAAATTATGTTAACATAAAACAAAATATATTGATCCCATCTCTACAACCATCTTGGCAAATAAAAAATAAAGATAATTATAACTTGAAACCAAAATGAATACCTTGATAGCCGCACCAAAGGCTGATTCAGAGGTTCTATTATTTTGGAACATGGTAGGAATGCTTTCCAGAAGTAATTCTAAGTGTTGACGGCACTAACCATGAAAGAGCAAACCAATTAGTGAAGTATTTGAAACTATTTTATCTACCAAACTCCTCAAGCAGGAAAGTATTTGAAACTAACCTCAGATAATGGAACAATTACATCGGTTTGCAAAGGAGTATAAACATCTTGGACATCAGGAACAATGAGCATCAGCGGCTGCAAGTTTTAAATTTCAAAATCAGCCTAAGAATCAATTACTTAAAACTGTAAAATGCAAATAGCTAGTCAATATCACATAAATAGTATATATTTTCTAGTAAAAAAATATAATTAATTAAGCTGAATGAAAACAAGAACATTCAACTAAATCTTCCAAAACGAAAATTCAGAATGTTTAGTTGTGTATGTGCTACCTGCTGCAATGCACGTTTCAGGTTGTAGAAATGAATTGTCGAGTCAAAAGTTGCAACTCCCACCTTTGTGCGAGGACCCTCCTGTAGCAATAAGACCAAAAAAAATAGTTATTATGTGTATGTCAAATAAAATGAAGAATTTGCAAGAATCTCTGGTTACAACACATAAAATTTAAAAAAGAAAAACCCCATAGCCTCCTTATAGAAATTCAGTAAGATACTGACCACAAACAGAACAGAGGTTACCCAATATATATATATAAATATTATCATTTCAATATTCTTAATCTCCCAAATCTCCTATTTTATTTTCTTGGGGGTTAAATAGGTTGAATTCATTAACGTGTTTATCCACTAAGTAACTGGGCGATTGATACAATGTGCTGTCTCTTAAAACCATTAATATTAGTTTGACTAATTAAATGAGAAAGGATAAAACAAAGATTTGACATACACGCACGCACAAGTAAAAAGGGACATACAAACTTCCAGTATTAACTGTGTGTTGCCATATATCTTCATCAGATATACGCCCCACAAATTCACTTAATAAAAGGCCAAAAGACAAATAGCTCATACAATAAGATAATGCATCACTAAATGAACAGCTATGCTATTATACTTAAGTGTAAGGACCTTCATAGTGGGAAATTGATTTCTAATATCACCCCATTCAATTCAAACAATTCATTACTTTATATTTCATCATTTGTTTTGAGGCAGGGGGAGAAAGGAGGGGAGAATCTTAAAGATTTTATATTTTGATATTTACAGAGTATAATGAAGTAATGAGTTTCAGTCCAATGAAACAAAAGAAAATTTGGAAAACAATAAATCATATATAAATGGTTGACAAGTTGTCCACAGTTAGAACTCACAGGAAGGTCTGAAATAACTTGACTTATGGCACTGCATGCTGCAGCTGTAGCACCAGTTTGAACAGCATTCATGGATACATCAATGAGAAAGAAGTATACGGCAGGCATTGGCTCACGGACCTATAGAAAATAGTGAATTGCACATCTGTCATCGCTGACACTCAAGAGTGAAGAAACAGGAATGGGAGAAAAGAAAAAGTTATTCCAGACTGATGCATAAACTGCTTACTTCATATATCAGCTTACAAGACTAAAATATGAGCAAACAGGCATTTATAAACAGGCAGCAACAGCATAAAAAATGAATAAGCATAAAGAAAAAAATTGTCTTAATATTTTATGTAGTGCTGATATTGGGACTGAGTAATATTCTATAAACTATATTGCAAAAATACAATTGCTCGAGAATTATTATGTCTAGTAAGCTGGTATCTGTTAATTTCAGAATTTCAAGCTAGGGACATTTTTTATAAATTGAAATACTGGATGATTAATTTTAATGCTTCCATTTGGGCTTTTAGGCTGTTCAGATGTATATTTCAACAAATATTGCACATGCAGAATATTTAAATTGAATATTCTTCCGGTGATGAACAGCCAATAAAAGAAATACACAAAAAATCCTTCTTCATAGGGCCATGCATATTTTACAAATAAACTAACCATGAATTCTTTTGTAGCAACAAACTCAACCGTTCCTCTACATAGCTCAGGCCTTTCATCAGCATCTCTACGCCGACCATCTGGACCTAAATTGCAGTGGTAGTCCCGTGGTGTTTCATCACTAAATCCTGTAAAACAGATATATAGTAACAATTAAGTGTTTGATCCCATCACAAAAAGACAAAAAGCAAAACATTGAATAACACTCTCATAAAGAAGCCAGAATGATAAGAAAAATGATGAGGACTTATAAGTGAGCTGGCTGAAAATGTTTGGAAAAAAGCAAATGGTCAATCAGAGCTACTTCCCATCTTAATGACACATTACAGGTTCACATGCAACATAACGCTTTTTACCCTGAGATGTTATGTGTGCATGATCAAAATCAGCTCTTCATTTGTTCTTACGTTGTTCTTCTGTAGGGACAAAGGATTTGTTCAGCCCTTTCGGTGAATGCTGGATCTAAGTCCTTTGATCAAATTTTGGTGACTAGTTTTAGAGGTTTTGGTAGAAAAGGCTAAATGCCGAAATACTTTTGGTAGCTTGCAATATATGCTATTATTTAATGACATTTCATTTCTCAGCAATTGATTCTAATTGGAGTAGGCAGTTGACATCCCATTGGAGTAAGGCACATGCTCTTTTTAAAGGGTTGGGCAGCTTTGCTCCATTGATGTTTTCTCTTTTTCTTTCTTGTATTATATTCCATTTTTTTTCTAAGGAGGACCCACCCCCCATCCCATTTCATGCACTTTCTTCTCTTGGTCTTGATGAACTTCTTTAATAAAAAAGAAAAATGGCAGTTCACATAAGCAACAGTAATCAGACCAAGGTAGTTAAATAGGGATTCAAGTTATGAATCGTAAGACCTATTTTTTGAATCGTGCATCGAATCATATCTTGAATCGTAATATTCAAGATCAATAATTTAAAATATAAAAAATATAAATATAAGAGTATTGTAACATAAAGAAACATCAAAACATCTAATATATTAACATTTTGAAGTCAAATAATATGTACCTAACAAAAAGATGAGAAAACAAAAATAAAATAGGAACTGTTGCAATGGCACAGGGGACCACCAAAAATCTTGAAAAGGGAAGCAGTGAACAAATGCTGGAAAATCTGATATTTCCGATGAACAGAAAAGCAGAAGAAACACCAAAAAAGATGATTTTTTCAGCGAAATGGAGCAGGTAAGCCTCCGGACTAGCTGATTTTTCCGGCAAAATGGAATGGGTGCACCAATGAGAATGGGAGAAACTGCTACGCAAGGTCAGACTTTTTGCGGAGAAAAGAGAGGGTGAGGAAGATGAAATTAACACATGTTTTATAAGGGTAAATGACCTTTTTACCCTTAAAAAATAATCCAAATGGTGCGTTTTATAAAAAATAAAATAGGGTTTCTTTCTTCCCCCAAATCACCAAATCATGAACATCTCCCTGTTTTGGCTGCAAACACCCGCACCTCTCCGATTCGAGCGCTACCTGATTTGCAGAGGAATCGTGTGCTGCCATCCAGATTTACGATTTAGCCCGATACGTACAATTCAAACAATTATTATGGCAACAATTCAAATGTTAAATCGATTCTGCCATTGGATTCGAATCCCTAGGCTACAGAATCAAATCGAATTGTTAGTATCGTATCGTAAATCTTACGATACTAACTACACTGAATAACTAGTGCATCAAATTCATAAACTTGCGATACAAGTAACGATTATCAACCAACCACTGATAAACTTTGCCAGGCAAAACAAAATAAAGCTTCCTAATTCTCCTTTCTTCATTCTAAGAAGCAACATTAAAAATTATTTCCCCACACCATTGGTACCTTCCATCATATATGATATATATAACAAACAACATTAGGATGAACAACTGTATAGCAGATGTTATTAGTACTAACCACACAAGTTGCAGATGAAACGCCTTCCCTGATCAATGAATTTCATGAAGGGATTTATGTAAGCCTTGCAACGTGAACATCGGACAGGACCACCCTCCCCAAAATCAACAACCTATAACAAAGAGTGAACTTAACAAACATTACAACATTGTTGCATTCACCACTACAGCTAGACAAAAAAAATTCAAGACAGAAGTAACGAGCTCAACCACAGTCACTGATCTTGTTAGTATAAAGTTTAAACAGTTGAAAAAATCTTATCAAAACAACATCAACCAAGTTGTATCCCACTAGGTGAGGTATTATTCAAAAGAAGAGAAATATTTTTTCTAACATTCCCTAAGAATATGTTTGGGAGTTGAGTTTTGAAGGAGAGAGAAAGGGAGACCAAATATTTTATTTTTAAATTAAGAGTTCAACAATGTTTAAAATAAGTAAATAAAAGATTAAGACAATAAGCTTTTTCTAATTTATCATTTATTTTAAAAAATTATGAAATTAGAGAATATTTATTAGAAATAAAAAAAATATATCTTCCTCCAAAACTCAACTCCTAAACATACCCTAAGAAAATACTAGCAAATACAAGAAACAGAAACAAAGAAATCCAAAGGCTGTTTGTTCACGAACCCTTGAAATAGATGGGTTTTCCCCCCAAGCAGATAGATATGTCACAAATAGCTAGCAGGCTATCAAACATTCGACAAAGATAAAGCAGAGTCCTAGAATGTTTTTGGTTCTACATTTACACTTTTTCCAATGCATCTTTAATGGAGATGCAACAATATGTTGTTGTGGAACAAAACATACATTTGGATGGTTTCAAACTGAAAAACAAATACACATCTAACTTTTCATTTACTAACAGGCTACATAGTAGTAATAATAATAATAATAATAAAAGCTAATCTAGCACTTCAGATAAGAATAAACATGGAAAAGAAACATCTACGACTAGCACTTCAATAAAGAAAAATGGCAGATGCAGAAACTTCAGTCAGTACTTGAATGGGCTCCTCAGATGGGTGTGGAAGGGCCAAAGGTTGGACTAGCATAGCCAACTGCATTCCTGATGTTGCCAAAAGATCAGCAGTGACAGGAATCTGTTTCATTCAACAAAAAGAACAAAGCAAATGATAGAAAATCAATATGAAATGACAGAAACAACCAAATCTTCAAATTTAAGTAACCAAACTCAGAAAATTACTCCAAGACTAAATTTGCTTCAAATAAAAGTAAAAGTTATTGGAAAGAAAAGAACACAGAACACAGAACGGGGGAATACCATCTTCTAAAGAAAAATTAATCAGAATAAAGAAACCTCTTTCAAGAGCCAAAGCATAAACACACATGAAAACAACAAACCCCTTTATGCAACCGCAAAGGCTCCCATCTAGCAAGGTCTAGGGAAGGTGGATGTTTATCACCTTATCCCCACAAGCAGAGAGGCTATTTCAAAGATTTAACCCTGACTTCCCAGTCACAAGGAAGCAACATTATTGCTCCTCAATACAAACAAGTGATAGTAGTGATTAATCCTTTCATTTCTCAAGACCTTATTCAAAGCTAAAAAAATACAGCAGATGTTAGACATGACCTGATTGATTGTGCACTTCATGTAACGTGGACTGCAATTCCCTGTATCTCTTACAATGTAATCACTTGTAGCAGACTGGACAAAAATTAAAAAAAAATAAAAAATTAATGCAATGTATATGACTTCCCAGGAAACATAAGGCATGGCATTTGCTATGATTGCTATGAAACTACAGATTTTTTTTCTCAAAAAGAAGGTAATACAAAAGGAAAAAGATAATAATGGAGAAAAACAAAGTTATAACAAATAATAACAAAGACTGAGAACATGAAAGAAAAGACATGTATCTATAATTTGCAGGTGATTTACCGGAGGAATGGTTGCCTGGTTGCTTTGACGAGTTTCATGCAAGATCACTGAGGAACCTGGAGTAGGCCTTGGAATTTGATTCGGATCAATTTTAGAAGGCCCTGCCATAGGGGCTCCGGTTTGACCAACAGCGGGTGAAATAGTTGTAGTCATAGATTGATTTGGCAGTGGTGGTGGCATGCCAAACATCCGAGGAGCCTGTGAAGAACCAGGAACTGTAGGAGGGGGTGCTACCTATATAATTTCCAGTATTCAGAATCCAGACTAATCTTCAAAAGATGAATAAATGCATATAGGGCATATTACAACTGTTTGAGTACTAGATATGGTAAGACATTCAAGAATATTCAAAAAGCAAACACTAACAATTATACACATGAGATGTTAACCACCGCCAAATGCCTATTCAGTCATCTAAATATCCACAATAACAAAACACTAATTCTCAAAATTCATGTGACAATTAGTTCATTATAGATTAACATACTTAGTGTCTTGACACCAATGACCAATGTAGCAGAATGATGACTGCTTAATCATAGCTTCTCATTTTTTAGATTAAGGTATATATTTTTCAGAAACCATCATACCAATCCCTTGCAGAAGGCATATAAAAAGCAATGTCACACAACAGAATGAGCATGCTGAATTATGTTTGTGCTTTTAAACTAAGATATTATGCAAAAGCAGAAAAGTTGTATAATCATAAGTGCTTACTGTAACCATTCACAAACACTGAACATGCTGGAAATTGAAAATAACCCAAAAAGAAGACTAGGTATGAACCAAAGAAATAAGATGACAAAAAACTGTGAAGTACAAACACTACTCCTGTTTGAATAATCACAGTGCTGGACACATTTCCAACACCAACACCTGTCCAACACATGTTGGGAACTCATTATTAGGTGCCCAATTAAAAGCTTATTTTTCATCAGTTCAAAACTTGAGCCAACACCTCTCTCTGAATCAATGTTGTTAAAATCGCAATTAAAATCACAAGATCACACAATTTTACGAACCTAAACCTCCCTCGCAATCTTGATTGGAACTGGGATCACAAATCTATAAGATCGGTTGAGATCCCGATCTTTTTCCATAGGATCGTAGGATCGGCGATCTAATCCGATCCTGGGCGCGGCTTTCTTGATCAGATTCTGGCCTTGGATTTCTGGGTTGGGCTTTTGTGGGGTCGGGTTTTTCTGACCCAGTTTTTAAAAATAGTTCTAGGGTAATTTTTTTCCCAATTTTTTCCCATTCATTCATCTTCTCTCTTTCGTACGACCCATTCTCTCATCTTCTCCCTTGCAACCCATTCTCTGAACTTCTCTCTTTGGTGTGACACAGTTTCTCATCTTCTCTCTTCCGTGCGGCCCAGGTTGGTCTAGTAGGTCGCTGTTTGTTGGTGGTTGGTGCTTGCTGTTCTGGTTTGCTATTGGTTTTGTGTTGGTCGCTATTTGCTGTTCTGATTTGCTCTTCCTATTGGTTTTGTGTTGATTGGTGTTTGCTGGTTCGCTGCTCTATTTCACAATTTTCTGTGGGTGTGGCTAGTTCTATTTAGGTGAGTCTCTCTAAGTTCTGTCATGGCAAGCTCAAAATTAAGCAATAGAATCAAGGGAAGAAAGAGCCTAATTTTAACATTGAGGATGTTGCTTCTGATGATGACTGGATTGTAGAGGAGGATAATGAACTAATATCAGATATGGATTTAGATGAGAGCTTGATTTAAAATGGAGAAGCAAGTAGTGGTATTGGTAGTGCAAGTGCACCTATGGATGATGATTTGGACCCTCCATCTACTGATGATGATGAACAGGCTAATATAGATGATATTAATAAAGATGATTATTTATGCCTATTTAGAAGATGATTATCCTAATTGAAGCTTGCAAAATTTATTGTAATAGATTAGTACTAGTTTGATTAATTATGTGTTATATTAAATCTAGAATCTATGACTTTTAAGTTATGTGATTTAGATGTTAATTTCCTTATGTATGTTATTTTTTATGCTTATATATATGTTTAAGTATAGTTTTATATGTTTTGTAAGATCTTACGATCTATTTATGATCCCACGATTTACAATTTTTGATCCTCTCCCGATCTTGACAACATTGCTATGAATGGACACATGCTAGCATTATTATTAAAAAAAAATTAACTTCTAGAAAAGTCAGTTTAAAGTAATATATATATATATATATAAAATGTCTCTCACTCCTTTATGACGCTCTCTATAAAAACAAAAGGTGAATATACAAATATTGAGTATCAATTTAGAACTTTTTTAACTTTTGTACACCTCGTTATATACTGGGGATCTTAATGTCATATATTTTGTACATGAGACATATCTGAGTGTCCATGTTGTGTCCAAGTCTGTACTTCATAGGCAGAAAGAGCTTCAAAGGTTCCATTTTTTTCAGTTATATTATATGCAAGATATGTGCAAAATCATGTATCTACTCTAATAAGAGAATATATTGTCCAATGTTTTTTATCTTCATTTGGGAAAAAATAGATGATCACATAGATGCAATTTTACATGGTACCGAAGGCCTTATTTAATACTCCATAATTAAAATGGCCTTTTGTTAAAATTAGGAGCAGGATCTATAAATATAAACTGATCCGTTAATTGGATCACAATATGCTCAGGATAATCTCAATGATTTTAATATGTATACTTTAAGTTTTATGATTTTCAGGGTGTATTAAATATTCCATGCCTGTTCATAACCTATTTTAAAGTATGTTTCCAACACAATTATGATAAAAATGTTCTACTTATAAAGATTCCTAATTTTAAAACCAACTAACATATTTCAATGAACTGTCTCTATTGACACATGAATTATAGAAATACAATTTAAAATTTCAATTCTCTGACCAGACATAAGAAACTTTTCATCTCCTCTGAAGCCTTTTCAACCAATTAACAAACAATACCATTGCTATAGTATCCACAAATTTGCTGATTAATGCATACACATAATGCCCCCGTTTATAAACACACAAATCCATACAAACTTAGTCATTTTTCCTGCTTGGCATAGAAGACATAATAAAAAAACTATTATTTTAACATATGGTTAAGCTATATGACCATGCAGTCACCAAAATTATTTTCTTTTAAACATACAAAAAAAGTCTATCCCTCATACACATTGTTAATAGAGCAGGCTACATTTTTTCTATCACTCATTCAGCAAAATATTGTAGCCAAGTTTTGGCTAAAAAGACACTCAAAAACAATAAAGTTCGTATATAGAGAAGAGCTACCTGCTGGGATTGCATCTGCCAAGAAGGTGCTCCAAAAGGTGAACTTGGAGGCTGCATTATTCCTTGAGATGCCATGGGATATGGGGGCTGAGATTGAATAGCTGGGCCTGGAGGAGTTCTCATTGTTGGAGGTCCAACCAGTGGTTGTGGGACACTGCCTACTGGAAAGCGCTGGGGACCTGGCCCAGCCCCAGCAGAAAATACAGGCGGTCCATTATTCATCAAATTACTGGATGCACTTGTAGGGGGCATGACCGGGGGCGCACTCATTGGTGGCGGAGTAAAAGGACTTGGAGTTGGACTTGGGCCTGCACGAGCACCTAGAGTCGGGGGAGGTGCCATAAGGGGACGGATTGGTGGAGATCCGCCAGAGGGAGGAACCACAGAAACTGGAGCTGCAACACTACCCATGGATGCTGAAAGAGAACTAGGAGGGGGTCTTGACACAAAAGCTGGAGGTTGACCAGGAGGTGGCCCAGTAGGCCTTCCAGTGGCAATATTTGGTGGCAATGTAGATAATGGTGGTCCAGTAGGAGGTCCTGCAGGCCTCACCAATGCTCCAGGAGGTGGACCAGGTCGCGAAAATGGAGGTGCGGAACCAGGGATCCCCGGCATAGGGGCCGAAGAAGGAAAAGACGGTGGTTGACCAAAGGGCGGAGGTCTAGAAACAGGATTTGATGTCATGGGAGGCCGGTTAAGATTCAAATTGTGCATATTATCAGCCAATGCATCGGGAGTACCCCTAATATTGGGGATGTAATTAGGGGGAGGTGCTTGGGGAGCGCTACTACCGGGTCTAGGTGCCCCTGGAGGCACAGGAGCAGCCATTGCTGAATCAAATCAAATCCAAGGTCCAACCTCTAATAATCCCCGTTCAGCTTCACCGGATTATCTAACTGGTAACCAAAAAATAAAGATCCAAATCTACAACAAAAAAATTGAAAATCAATGCAATATTCCAGCAAAATTGAAAAGAGAAATCAAGGAGAAAAACATGATACAAGAAATCGATATTATCAAATCGGAAAGGGAAATGCAACGAAGAAAAGAGATATGAGAAAACCTGATATGAGATCGCCCGAATTTGCAAAATTTGGACCGAAAAGAACTTAGATCGGAGAAAGGGGGTTTTAGAGAGTGGTGCGCGAAGAAAAGCTTATTATATCACTGCCTATTGTTTCTTCGGTCATTTGTAACTGTTTAAGGGCCTTTTGGTTCGGGTTATTTCCAAATTCCAAACCTGCGCAATCAAAATGTCCGGGTCCTGGGTCCTGGGTCCTGGGTCCTGGGTCCATATAAGTTTCTTGGATTTCTAAATATTCAGTATATTCATGTCTGAAACAAAAAAACCGTATATTCATTAATTATATTTAGGTTAAATTATTGAATTATGTTTTCATTAAACTTGTGTTAGCCTAATTTCACTCAGGTGTCTGATGTATATATGTTTTCATTAAATAAATTTTTCTCTATTTTTAAAAATGTATTTTTTAGAATTTTCAAATATGTTTAATGTATCTTAAATATTCTTTAAAATGTTATAGAATGCGTTTTATTTTTTAAACATGTCAATTAAAAATATTTCGACACTCTATATAATAAATGATAAAATTTATTTAAAATTTTAACTAAATGTATAATTATTAAAATTTTAGATATTAAAATAAAAACAAAACATAATATACGTTACGAAAATAGAAAAATAAAATATTATATGTATAATTAAATTATATTAATATAAATTATAATTATCTAACTGTTGAATTATATATATATATATTATGTTAAATTTTTTCAAAATTAAATGATTATAAAATTTTAATTAAAGTGTTTTTATTTTTATATATTTTAAAAATATATGGCATTAATTTTGATACATAAAAGTATGAAATAAAATAATTTTAAATATATATATTTTTTAAAATATTATTTATATAATTAAAACTTGTAATTTAATTATTTATTTTATAATTAAATTATTTAACAACAATTTTATTAAATAACATAAGAATGATTAAAAAATTAGTGACATTTTTTTTAAAAAAATAATAACTATTTAACAATAAAAGTTTTAAAATGAATAAGATAAGATTGAGAGATTGCATGAATTATATTTAGATTTGAAATATTGAAAAATATAATTATACTTTTATATTGTAATTTTTTTTTATTTTTGTTAAAATCTTAATTTCTTACTCATACAGTCAAAGTATTTAAAAAAAAAAGTTAAAGTGTTCATACTAAATATAAAAATTTATACCTTATTTAATTTGTTCATTTTTTATATTTTTATTAAAAACATATAAAAAAAATTTTCAAAACCAAGCCTAATTTTTTTTAAAAAAATATTGTTATAAAATTTAAATACTTAAAAATGAGAATAGTGAAATTAAAAATACTTAAAAATAAAAATAATAAACATATATGGATATCATTGTAAATATTATTCAATAGACTATATTATATTTAATGACTTGTACCTAGTTTATCATTTCATTTATCTCATTCAACTACTTAATTTTTTTGTTTGTTTTTTTTCATTTAGTGTTACTCACTATAATATATATTTTTTTATAATTGTTTCTCTTTCTCTTATTTATTTTGTTCTCTCATAATTTTTATTTTGTTTTATTGTCAAAATACAGTAACAAAATTTTTTAGTTTCACCATCTTTTAAAAGTTTGAGTGTTTTTTATATCTGTTCTTTGTGTTTTTTTTTATTTTTAACTTTTGTATAATTCTTATCGTTGAATTTTTTTATAAACATTATTATTTTTTATATTTTTATATATGAGTTATTCAATTTCTGAATAGCTTTAATGTCGTTATTTTTATATATTTTGTTATATGAATAAAAAAATAAATTAATTAAAAAATATATATATACTTATACTTTTTTATTATTATTACACTTGTAGTTAATATTTAAATTTTTTTATATATTTATATTTTAATAGTAATTTTTGAAACGTAAAAGTATACATACACATTATTAAAATATATATAATTAAATAAGATAAAATTCAAAAAAATATAAATTTTACAATCTTTCTTAAACCTAATTTTATTAAAATTAATAAATTTATAATATTAATAAATTTATATTAAAATAAAACTTGTGCATTGTATATTATTTGAATTGTAATTATATTTTTATTATTTTGAGTCTTAAGATGTAACATTGATAATATTTAAATTTATTAAATAAATAGTTCAGTAAAATTAGTATTAATAAGAATAAATATTATAAAATTTATTTATTAATAAAATATTAATGATTAATTTTAATCTTTATATAAAAAATAAATAAATCTATTATCAAAAGTAGTTAAATTAAGCACATTTTTAATGTTTTTACTTTTGAAAACAAAAAATAAAAAGTAAAACTAAACATTTTTTAAAATCTTAAAAATTTAAAAATATATTTCTAAAAAATAGAATAAAACATGAAATTTTTCTTGAAACAAAAAAGCCTCTTAAATACCCACCTATTTTAAAGTTTATAATTATAATTATTGGTTGTAAAATCTTTTGATTTGTTGAAAAAAATTGATGGCAATTTTGTTTAATGTTTCAAGTAAAATATATTCGTAATTCCTAAAGAAAAAAAAAAGTTATTCTGGCCTGTAAATTGTATTTCACACTCAATACAGATAAGTTTTGAATCGAGTGACAGAAGATAGTGTTTGCGTTATTCAGAGTAAATAAATAAAGCGCATCAACTTCGTTTCATTATTATTTTTTTCTTTTCTTTAGTTTGATTTAAACAAAGTTTCCTTTTTTCTTTTTAAGGTTGATAAACAAATCTTTCCTTTGAGGTCACAAATAAATAATTATTTTAGATTAAATATATAAATTTCTCAAGGCTAGTATTTTGAATTATGATAATTAATTAAGATTAATGCACAATAAAGGGGGAAAACTTTATTTTTCCTATTTTTTTTATTTTCTCACCATGTAAAAAAATAAATAGAAACAATAATTTGTGAATGACCATACGAGGGATAAAGTTTTTGAAATGAGAGGTAAACACTCTTCTCAATATTTTATATACGCAATAAGGCCCCAGTCATTAGATAAAGGGAACAATTTTAATGATTGTAGTAACTAATTTAATATTTAAATTATTTTAAATATTTACGACTTCAAAATTACTGTGTTTAGAAATGTTAGAGTTGAGAGAATAATTTTTCTCCCAACAAACTTCTTAAGAAATTGGTAAAAACTAAATTTAAAGGTAATAAAGCATTGATTCATTTTAAGATGATTGCCAATTAACGTTGGAATGTCATGTGATTGATAAAAATAATAATAATTTATTAAGGATTACGAAATAAAAATATTAATTTTATAAATTAAATTAAAAAAAAAAAAAAAAACTTGGAAGCGAGTAGCTTGTGTTTGCCTATCCGTCCTTATCATAACTGACAAGAGAATCTGCATCCAAAAGTTTCATCCATGAACCGGCTGTTTTGCCCTTTTAGGGTTAAATTAAAAAAAAATTACCAAAACAGGGTTTTATGTAAACATATTCCGTGTCTGGGGTTGGCCAGAGAGTCGTCCAGAGCAGAGACGACACCAAAAAGCAAAATCGTCCAACGAACCGTCGACACATGTATTACAAAATTGGAAAAATTAAAAATGAATCGACGGGTGGGGAAGAAGAAGGCGACGTGTACAAATCTGAGAGAGTCGTCCATGTCAGAGACGACTTTATTGGCGGTAGGGTCAGGGACGATTTAAGAGAGTCGTCTAGGGCAGGGACGACACTCTGTTCATTGGTCCACGTGGCAGAAAAGTTTGACCGTTTGGCACGCAGGCTTCTTCCTTCTTCCCTTTCCCCTTCCCCCTTCCCCCTTCCCCCTTCGTCTTCTCCGTTTCATTTGAGTTGCAGAGAGAGTTGTATGCCGGAAAAAAATACGTTTGAATAGCATTTTGTTGGCTTGGTGTATTCCGATTTTTGAGGCAAAAATTATTAAAAGGTAATGAGATAAATATTTTGAATGTATTTACGTTTTTAAATATGAATTTGCATGTATGTAATATTGATATTGTGGTGCAGATAATTGTGGGTGAGTGCTGTGCTTGGGCTGTGAGTTAGTGGAGCTCGGTCCCTTCAAAATTATTTTAAAGCTGCGGAGGTGCACAAATAAATTTTAATTTTTAAATATTTGATAAATTAATTTATTTATTTTGTAACAAATAAAATTGTAGATAAATTATGTTAGAAATTATATAATAGATATAATTTAATTTATAATTAGTTGTTTAAAAATGAAATCAATAAAAATTATAGTGATCCATAATATGTATTAATTATTAAAAAAAATTATATTTTATTAATTTGACAAAGTAAGAGGAAAAAATAATATATATAAATATATAGTTTAAAAAAAATATAAAACATGATAATGAAAAATTATGTATAGAATGCAGTAAAAATATTAAATAATTAATGTAGAAGAAATAATAATTTTTCATATTTTGATAATACATTGATATTAAAAAAATGAGTGAAATAAAAAATATTAGATATAGTAAATACAATATTTTTATTAAAAGAACATATACAATTATATTATAGAATAGAAAAAATATGAAAAGAAAATAATTATAATCATAATTTAAATATTATATTCATAATCAAATTAGCAATAAAATAAAATAATTATGTCATCAAATTTATTTTAAATATTACATATTTAAAAAAGATTATGAATTAAGAAACAAAATAATTATTGAATAAATAAAATAAATTAAAAAATAACATAAGTTTTACTTTAAGTAAGAATATAGTAATTAATTTGCTAAAAAATAAGTAATTATTATCTTTTACAAATGTTTTAATTTTTCTCATTTAGCTGAATGGATTTTATAAATAGTTTGATGTTTCCTCATGGCATAATGTTTTATAGCCATTCTTACATCTTCTTTAGTGTCAAATAGTTGTCCTACATATAATGCATCTCCTTCTTTCCATGATTGCGCGTCATTCATACCAAGAAAATCTATTTCTTGATCAGGGTGTTCCCAATTAATATGACTATAATGTGGGGTTATATTCCAAAAGGGCAATGTAGTTTCTGCATTATAATAATTCATTCATAAAATTTATACCATGAATAACAATTTACACATTACTACAAATATAAGTTCTAAACAAATTATACCTTCATGTTGTTGTTGCGGTAAACTAACTCTTACAATACCCTCCATATTGATTATTGAATCACAATCATCATCTGTCTCAGTATCAGAAAAATTATTTAATGAAATATCTTCTTCATCTTCATATTCATCATCTTCATCTGTAGATCGTACATTGTAAATTTATATTATTAATAGTATTTGCAGTATCAATTTTAAAAATTTAAAATCATCAACTTCATAATACCTTCTCTTGTTGCATAATCATCATAATCATCATCACTTTCATGATTGAGTGAGAGTGGTAAATTCACTTCTAACGGACATGCCACAGCAGAAGATGTTTCACCGACCGCAATATCCACATATATCTCAACTACATTCCTATGATGTGGTTCTTGACACGCACTTATCATACAATCTATGTCTTCATCATCACATACATCCAAAGTTGTATGGTATCGACAATTTGTCCCAACTAAAATTCGTGAAATTAATCTAGAAATTACGTGACAACTAGATAATTTCAATTTTGTGTGGATCTTCCTTTTAAACATCTCAAGTGTAATGCCACGTTCTATCTTAATCATCTTTTTCTCTCCTTCAAAAATTATACCCTCATTTCCTTCATATATTCTACCATTTGAATATAATATAACAACAATTTCATTCATCCTGCATTACAAATAAGCCAAATTTATAATATAATAAAATTATCTTTAAAAATTTATTTGTAATTACAAATATTTAAATTTTTTAAGCACTTAAAAAATTATATTACAACATTAACACTTAAAATATTATCCAAATATAAAAATAAATATTATTATTTAAAATATCAATTTTTAATAGCCAATAAATAAAATTATATATTTATAATGCTTAAAAATATCTAACCTTGTTATTGTTCTTCTTGCAATTTCTTCTCCCGCACTTACAATATTTTCTGCAACTTGTTTCGTCTTTCAACTTCACGAAAGTTTTGAATTTATACACATTTGAAACATTAAAATCGGAAATCGTTGACCGGCACTGGAGTCGTCTCTGCAGTACAAGCTACTAAAATGGTCCAAAAATAGACGACACAACTTTATTCACTGACACGTGTCAACATCTCATGAGTGTCGGCTCCTGGATGGACGACACTGTCATGAGTGTCGCCTAATACTGGGACGACACTCTCACAGTTCGTCACGTCATCGCATGTGTCGTCCCTATTATGGACGACTCTCTTGCCACGTCACCCGACAACCCCAGATCGGGAATATGTTTTCATGAAGCCCTATTTTAGTATTTTGTTTTAAAATTAACCCTAAAATGGCCAAAAAGCCCCATGAACCATAGTGATTGTAGAGTAGCCATCAAATTTTTTTTATTTTATTTTTTGTTTTCAGCAGAGCTCCCTAAAGTTTGCAAATTGTTCATTTGCAATTGCATTTTATTAGATAAAGTTACAATTAACTTACTCTAAAACATAATTAATTTTAGAAATAAAAATGTGTTATATCCATATATTTTAATTAATGTAAGGTAAATTAACGCAACTGTTTTACACTTAAAGTTGAGTACTTGAAATTTGCAAATGGGAACATGTCCTACAGCAGTTTTTTGTAAGTATGTTTCAACTTAGGGATGAGCAAAGTATATGCGAACAAAATATAATAAAAATGTTATATATTTGAGAAAATTTCAAAGAAATTTTTGGGTCATAATCAAAGCAAAACATCATGCCAATTACACAATTCATCACAATTTTATTAAGTCAAGGTCCATCATATATTATTAATTGATTACCTACCTCACCTGTCAAGTTCCACGAGATAAGTATTCTCTTCAATTAAGGGGGCGAATAGTTTGGATATCCACAAATATGTCATTTGCTTGAAGGATTTTTATTTTATTTTTTATAAAAAAAACATACATTAAAAAACCGTAATGATAATGTAAAATTTTTAAATCATGTTTTTTTTTTTTACTTTAAAATTTAAAAATGGTACATTCTTAAAAAATTATAAAATTAAATCATGCCATAATTTTTTTTTAAAAAAAAACGTCTTAAATTGTCAAAACTTACAGCATATTCTCGTACTCACCTAACTCCACAACGAATGTTTCGGCTAAAATGCTACACATAAAGTAAATTGAAAATGTTTCTTTCTTTCAAGATATATACATAAAATAACATCGCAAATGGTGATTAATTATAATTTTATTTACATATATATCATTTAAATATTGAATGAATATAATATCTAATTATAGTACTTGAATTTATTATACATTATATTTAGTAACTGTAGTATTAGATGTTACATTAAAAAATAATTTTAATTTATTTATTATTTTATTATATTGATCAAAATGGATCATTTAATAGTTTGTTAACAATAATTATTAAAATAAATTTTAAATATTTAATAAATAGAAGATTTTTAGAAAAATAATTTTTGCACTTTAGTATTTTTATGTAATTAATATTTTTATAATAAAATTGATTATTTTTAATTATCTGAATTAGTCTGAATAATTAATGTTAAAACTTTTATTTTATATAAGAAAAAGTAAATAAAATAAAATAAAATTTAGAAGCGTGAGATGAGAAGTGCACAAAGATGGTTGAATGTAGAGGATCATCTTCCTCCGAAGTTAGAAAAGCGCACATAGTTTTGTTGACGTGAACTGCCACGTGGGTAGACAGTTAAAAACGAAACCAACCGAGTCAGTGCAGTGGGCACATCTCACAGCAGTTAACGCGAGAATGCGTTCCGCGTTCGTAACGGACTTACCTCGAATCTCGAGCTTTTCAGCTCTCACACTTCCTCATTTCACTTCCATTTCCTTTCATTCAACTCACCCGTGCACGCTTCAAATTTCAAGCTCTCATTTCTCTTTTCACCACCGAATAATTGAGATGATATCTCGCGCGCCGCCAGTGGACATTACCAACGTCGACGACACACCGCTTCGCTGCCGGTGATTCCGCCATCGACATGCTTCCTGAGGCCAAAGTCATCCGTCTCCGGCGCGTTCTCGCGGCCTCGCTCTTCTTCGCCGTCGTTTCTCTCTCTTGCTTGGTCCTCTTAAGAGACGTTGATTCCTACCGATTCTTCTCCAGCTTACCTTCCTCTGGTTTTCCTAGCATTTTTCCATCGGCGTACAACGACACCGCTGCGGTGAGCTCCGTTGCTTGCTTTGTGCTTTTCTCTCGCGTTACTCATCATTTTTCATTTTCTGTTGCTGTTACGGGGAACTGAATTCACTCGTTTTGCATGCCGTTTTTCGTATGCTTGCTGCATTTTCTAATTATCTATTGGAAAGCAGTTTGAATTTGAAACTCTAATTCCTTTTGAGTTCGTATATGAATGTAGCTGCGCTAGGTTGAACGTGTTTGTTGGCCTCTTGGTATGCTTCATGTGTTATCTCACCGATTGAAATGCAATTTAAGCTCTAATTTCTTTCGAGAATTTGAATATTCTGAACAACTTGTTTTAGAAAGTGCATTTTATGCATAAAATCGAGAGAAGCCAGAGATTAGCGAAATTAATAGTGTAGTACTAAACAATGATATATATTCGATGGAAATCTTTGTTACTAAGTCTGTGCAAGTTCAGGGCATTGCAAGTGAGGAAATGTGATAGTAAGATTGGATGAATTGGGACACTGTTCAACTATCTCTTTTCAGTTCAGAGGCATTACTCGAGAAAGTTCGAGAAGTAATAGTTATTAACTTATTATTTTGCTTTTCATTTCTTTTTGGAATATATGCGTGTTGAATTATTGGAGGTCGAACAGGCTAAAGAGGAAGATGAGCTACTTAATTTTGGACAAAACTTGGATTATCATCTAATGTGTGTGTGTGATTGGTCAAATGGAGAATCCGATTCGTTCAAGTTCGTCAAGCTCTATTCGGCATATTCACAATCTCACAAGTGTTCCTTACACTTGTACATGTACACGGCATTTGTATCTAAAAATAAATGGAGATTGCTGCGATATATTTTAACTACTGATTGATTTCATTAGAAACTCTTACAATTTTAACAACCAGTGATTTCCCAATACTACATTCTTGTTCCTCTGCTGATATGTATTGCTGTTCTTTACAAAATATAGATAGATTGTCTTCTAGCACCAGTGACAATGCTTTCATACTTATCTGCTCTTCTGAATAAAGTGAATCCGGACATGCATATTAGTAAACACTAAATCCATTGCTGTATTATTTAGCTTCATAAATATAACCATATCCATGAAACTATTACCATTTTACTATGAGATTATCTTGATGATGATCTGCAGCCGCACTCAGAAGCATTGCTTATTTTCACTGCTGTAGAGCTATGGTTTATTTATGCAATTTGTCTATTGAAAAGGTAATCGTATTTTTTATTCTTATTGAATTGACTCTCCCGCAGACTAGCAATGAATATTCACTTGAAAAAGTCCTTAACGAGGCTGCGATGAAAGACGGAACTGTAATCTTGACCACGTTAAATGAAGCATGGGCAGCTCCAAATTCAGTCATCGATCTTTTCCTTGAGAGCTTTAGAATAGGGGATCGTACCCGTACGCTTTTAAACCATTTGGTAATCATCGCATTGGACCAAAAGGCATTTGCACGCTGTCAGATTATACATGCCCATTGCTTTTCTCTTGTTAGTGAAGAAGCTGACTTTCGTGAAGAAGCGTATTTTATGACTCCTCGCTACTTGACGATGATGTGGCGAAGGATTGATTTCCTACGTTCTGTTCTTGAGATGGGTTACAATTTCGTGTTCACAGTAAGTTATTTTTTCCTGAGTTCTGTTAATTGTACCACTTTTCAAACACTTGTACCGTGCTTTTACACTGTATCACGCTTGTATTTTCTTTCTTTCTTCTCATGTCATATTAACACTTCAAATGCGGAAACAACAAATGGTGTCTCCATCTTTGTGCATGCGAGTTTCCCTTTCTCCATCAATGACCTCTTAAAGCTCACAAAGACCAACTTGTGTAAACCTTAACATGTTTTAATTTTATCAGCCGTGGGAACATTCTCAAAGTTGTGAAGTTTATTGTTTTTGGGACTGATTTTTATATGATAGTTCTTAATGGGAAAATTTGTCTTTTAAGTGAACGAGAGAATGGACTACTTATGAGTTGACCTCTGCTTCCTGTTCATAGGCTAATTTGTGACATTTTACAAGATATTGATTGTAGCAATTCGGCCTGTGGGTTATCTTTTTGGCTAAGTTGGGGAATATATTCTATTTTTATTTAATAATATTATATCCACTGACAACGCGATTCTAATTATCTTCTTAATAGGTTATAAAAAATATTAAATGAAAAATTAAATACGTTATTATCCTGAAAAATATATAAAAATTTACATTATTTGATAATTATGAAGATTATTAGGAGAATATTGTGGGTGAACTTAAAATTATTTTTTAAGGTGTAGTTTGATAAGGAAATGTAAAATTTGATAGTGGTGGTATAAAAAAATTGAACATACCCTTCGTTTGTAAGGGTTTGTTTGGTTTGAGATTTGTTTTTCATTTCCCGTTTTTATTAAGAAGCATTTTTTTTTAACAATTATTATAAAATATAATTATCAATATACTCAGGAAATAATTTTTCTCTTTTTTTTGCAAACTAAACAAACGTAGTTTTTAACATTTCCACACATCACATGAGAGACATGGTAAACATTGATTGTATGTTGAACCTCAACTGTTTGTGTCTCTAACTTTTCGATTCCTGAATTTATTTGAACTTATATAACAATAAATATAATACCAAGCTTTTGCAAATGTCCTCTTAATTGAACAAATCATTTTCTTAAATGGTAGGATCAACCGTATCAGTTCACAGTTTCATTGCAGCTAAGTTTATGGCTATGCACTTTATAGCTGTTCATATTATATCTTCCTACGCTGTATTTTCCATTTTTAGGAAAGGAGAAGTGTTAAAAAAATCTCATTAGATTTTAGATAAATTTCTAAAGTGCCTTAATTAGATGCTTACTTTGGTGTTTCTCCTACAGGATGCCGATATCATGTGGTTTAGGGACCCATTTCCTCGGTTTCATCTTGATGCTGATTTCCAGATAGCGTGTGATCATTTCACAGGTAACTTTGATGATGTACAGAACAGACCCAACGGAGGGTTCAACTTTGTAAAGTCCAATAATAGGTCAATAGGGTTTTACAAATTCTGGTACTCTTCAAGAGAAACTTATCCTGGGTACCATGATCAAGATGTCCTTAACTTCATCAAGGTTCACCCTTTCATTACTGATATTGGACTGAAGATGAGGTTTTTGGATACAGCTAATTTTGGTGGGCTTTGTGAACCAAGTAGGGATTTAAACCAAGTTTGCACGATGCACGCAAATTGTTGCTTTGGTATGGATAGCAAGCTCCACGATCTTAGAGTTATGCTTCAGGATTGGAAACATTATTTATCCTTGCCTCCAAGCTTGAAGAAGTTGTCGGTTGTTTCCTGGAGGGTTCCTCAGAAATGCAGGTTGGCCTATACACAAGCCTTTCTATTTATAATTTAACCTTGTTTTTTGCTTACCATTCAGAAATTACAGCTTTATGATTTCTCCTTTTTTTCGGTGTCTTACTGGGTTGAAATTTCTCCTCAGCCTTGATTCTTTCAGGCACAATGGTTCAGCAGAGAAGACTAGTCAAGATTAATGTATTCATTGCTTGTTTTACATTTCTCTGACATAAATGTGGAAGTTCAGCGATGCTTTTGGATGAAAGGTCAGATATAGGTTTGAATAGGAAAATCAATCAATTTTGCTAAACAACATTCGAAGTAAGAATCCTTCCAATCAAAAAGCACACTTAGGCCATGTGAAAGATGTAACATGCTGTTCAATTCGTTGATTTGAGCTGTTTCCTAGTGCAAATTTTCTGTAATTTGCACAATTTTGTGCAACATAATGATTTAGTGGAACTTTTCCAATCCTCAATACCCACCACCGACACACCGTCTTCCACTTTCCTTAATTGTCAGGTACAGAAACAGAGAACTCATTTGTTAGTTGGATTATGAAAGAAAAAGGAGAGTGCAACTTTTTTCATTATTATTAAATATTATCTCAATTTAATTAATACTTGTAGACTGAAAATGCAATTAAACTTATCATCTAATTTAATTGTTTTTAATATAAAATAATAGATTAATATTATCTCAATTTAATTATATTACAAAAAAAGTGCAAGTGCGATTAACATTTTTATTACATTCGTGAATAGGAAGAGCTATCAAAACGAGTCAATTCAATTAACCAATTGATTTAAATCTGTTAAATTAATTTAAACATTTTACCTGACTCATCCAAATCTTTTTTTTTTTAATTGAGCTCAGGTTTGATCTAGTTAGTTTTTTCAACAAATAAGAAATAATTTTTTTGTCTGACATGACAAAGTCCAAGACTCAGTGTGAACCTCCTCAATATGGATTTAGTTCTCCATTTTTGTCCATATTTAACGGATGCAATTATTATTATTATTATTATTATTGAGTAATAACTTTTATGGGTTATTTCCTAAGCCAAATCTAGCCAATGAAACCCAATAAATCATCTATTGTTTGAATAGTAATTCATATTTTCAAACTAATCCAATCAAATATTTATTATGTAAACCATTATTTATTTATATGGACAATACAATATCATTTCACTTTAAAAGATAATTATCCAAATTAATCAACACGAATGGTTTAATTCTGTTTTGTTTTTACTTAAATGCACACAACAATGTGACTTTGTCTAAAAATTAATTATAAAAACTGATATATCAAATTTCTCTCGTTTTTACAAAGATATTACTAAATTCAGTGAATCAACCCTGGCTAATTTTTAGTGGGTTAATTAGGTTTGAACAAGACTATATATAAATGTGCATACGTGAGTATAAAATCAAATCATTTTTTCCCCTTTTCCACCTTTTTTTTAGTCAATAAAATAATAAAACTGTTGGAACAAAAAATAAATAAAACTTTTTAAAGTTTGCTTATGAAATATTATCTTAAGTAACATTTTGCTTCTTAATAGTTACCAATATCTTCTGTTTACTTTTATCTTTATTCTTTTATATAATTTATGCTCACGCAAAATAACCTTGGCACTTTATTTAGTCATTTTAACTTTTTTAAATGCTCAAATTAAATCTTTTAATAATAGAAGTATGATATCTTATTAATATCTATGAATGAAAAAAACACAAATCATTTAAATAAAAATGCAAAATAAAATATAATAAAAGTTTTAAGTTTACAGTGAAAAACTTAACGAGCATTTAGAAAACTAAGTGTCAATAATTAAAATTAAAGGGACCAAAATTACATATGCATTAAAGCATAAGGAAAAAAAAACGATTAAGCCTAATTTTTTAGCAGTTTTACCCCCGAAAAAAAAAGCCACAAACGTTTCTTGGTTTACGAGATATGAATCAACAAATACACGCGGATCAGGTATGGAAGTTTACAAGAAATATATTTATAAGAAATTTGGGTATGACATATAATAAAATTTTGAAGATCCAGTGTATGATATGTTAAAACTAATTAAACAGATTATATCAAAAGTTAGTCTGAATAATAAACAGCTTGATATTGCTTAAATAAAGTTTCAATTTTAAACTCGTGTATACAAAAAATATTCAGTAGTACATCTCAATTCTCAAATACATTATAATGGGATTTTCACGTACTTCAAAAATTAAATCAATTACATAGTTTAAAATATGGAATAGGGAAAAATTATAAAACCCTACACGCCGACAATAACACTTATTATACAACCCAAAAAAAAGGTAAAAAAAAAAAAACATAAAACGAGACATGACTATAAGATTCACATTAATAAAAAAAATTTCAGGTACCGTATTCGTCTACCTCGGTCATCTGTCTAAATGCTTGCTATCTACAAGAACACCATGTTCCCAAATTTCGGTGTACCTGTTATATGGCAGTTGCACGCGTAATTCAATAAGGTGACAAGCATATGTGCAACGATAGAACTCAGTTTTGCTTATAACAAACCAATTATAGAATTGAACATCTACTGCTACTAAACATTAAATAAGGACCTCAATAGAAACAACTACCAACCCGTTCTCCACTACATGGAGTTGAGTTCATAGATCAAATGATGCCATAATACTACGTTGTAAATCATGCTTATAGACAGCTTATTGACCTCTAAACTTTTAATAGTTTGGCCTATACTTTTTTTTGTTTTGTTCCCCTATAACGCTGCCGACTGGAGTACCTTCCATCTCTTTATGGGGCTTTTATAGCTTTCCTCCACACGTGCCCAAACTACTTAAAGTGCAAAGTGCAACACTAACTTTTGTTTAATGCACCCGGTCCTAATCCTATCTTGCCTTAGTATGTCTACTTCGGCGTAGGAACTTCATTTCTGTAACGTTGAGCTTATTCTCTATTTAACTTAATATATGAAAATAATTGTATGATGAACAAAACACCAGGTATTTATGACCAAAAAAATTAATTGATAAATATTAATATTTTATGTTAAAGTTGAGATCCCTGATTATCCTTCAAAATGTCTGTTTCCTTTCTAATATCAACATCATATCAGACAGAAAGCAAACCTGCATGGTGGTGAGTATTAGGGTATATATGTTTGGGGAGGAAGCATAATCAGCATGCCGATAAAATTTAAAAACATATTTAAACAAATAAGTTCATAGCACTGACCAAGTTTCTTTATAATTAAGAGAGAGGGAGACTAAGATCGCTTATACCTTGTCCCATTCGCATTAATGCAAAGAAACTGGCCATGCCGCCATCCATCTTTGAAATTGCCGAAGAAGGCATCACCAGACTTCGTATAGAACCGCCCCTCACCATTAGCCTTTCCTTTCCAAAAGTTTGCAAACCACCGATCTCCAGTGTGAAAATAAAACCAACCCTGCATAATCAATAAGCCACATTTACGGTTCACTAGTTGAACTTCATCTAATACTCTGTCAAAGATTATTTTGTAATCAATTATTATAACGTATGACACTGCACTTTTCAAATTTATAGAAGTTTTGGCAACAAAACCCACACAATAACATTAGATAGGAGAATCACATACGAGTAATTTAAGTATAAATATATCATATCAATAATAAAATGATTACAAAACAAAATTACTTTTTGTCTTATATTTAGCTTCGGCATTCATCACCAAAAAAATCAACTTCAAAAAGAGTACAAACCTTGCCATGTATGACATCATCCCTCCATGATCCTTGAAACATATCTCCATTTTTTAAATAGAATGTACCTAGGCCTGATCTCTTACCATAGCGCCATAAACCATCATATATACTTCCATCCCAGAGAATCAGACGCCCCTGGTGGCAAATTTTCATTTAATGTAGTTGGTTATCTTCAGCATGTAGTCATGTAAGCCAAAAAAATCAGACTTCCTGAGACTACCCTGCCTGTTACTATAGATTTGTAAGAATTTACCTTCCCTTCAGGTAGACCTCCTTGGCATCGTCCCTTGTATCTTCCTCCCCTATATTGCATTTCCACAACAGGATTCCACTTTTTTGACAAATCACGTTCTGCCTCCTGTACAAAACATAAAACTAAACCTAAAATCCTTATGACTTGAGATCGCAATAAATTATTGAAGTTTAACATGAAAATAAAAATTTTACAAGTAATGAAATGATAGTTACATAGTTGACAACTATCATCATAAACAAACTGAAATAGCACATGATAGACATTCCTTAAAGAATATTTTGACCTCATAAAAAGTGAATTTTCATTGCACTGGATAAACACCAAAGTATTAAAGAGTATGGAAAGATATGTTGTGCAAAATAGGAAATTATTTTCTACGATCCACAATCAGTAGGAGCTTGAACTGAAGAAACTACTCCCGACACATTGATAATATTTATAAAATTTGAACTTCACCTTCTTACTAAAGCCAAATTTATATAAATATCAAGAATAAATAAAGTACTTCCATACTTCTACAAGTAGCAAGCAGAGAACGACTTGAGCCTAATTTCTAATACTGAACAAGCTTAGTTTGAGCCAGTGTCAAGGCTACAACATTTTTTGTCTTTCTTTCTATTCTATTATTTAGTGATGAAAAAGTTCACTAGAAGGAAAGGACACCATTTAAGGATAAGAAATGCTCCTCAAATGAACCAGCAATTGAGAATAAATCCAAGTAAAGACAGAACAGCTCTTCAGCAAAAGTATATAAAGAGCAACTAGAGACTTGAAAATGGCAACATGATGCGTGTCTGATTTTGGAGGACAGTCTTTTGTTAAATTGTCAGCTATAGAATTTGTACATTATTTTGACATAACTTACGACATTTTCCTTATATCATCAGTGACAGAATATTCTGAGTTTCTCTTTCAGTAATATATGCACGAACATGTCATCAACAAATTTCAGAGTTATTACCAGCATAGATGCAGCGCGAACAGATAGAACTCCATGCTTCTTCGGTTTATTAGCATTCTTTCCCTTCAAAAGTGAAGATGCAAATTCCACCACTGCTTCCAAGCCTGCATCAGTCACTGCACTCCAAGGAGACATACCTCCATTTAATGTTGGTGCGTTCACATCATTATCAGTTTCCAGATCATGCTGTTTTGTCATAAACGAGATTTCAAAAGAGTCTTGCAACTCTTCTGAAGGCCTCACACCTACAGGAAGGTGGAAGATGCTTAGGTTATCAAGAATTGATGTAGCATCAGCTGCCCTTTCTTGGGCCCACTCCTTTGCCACCTCAAATCCAGGACCTAAATTCCAATTCTCAAGTTGCTCCCTTTGAAAAGCTGCGTCACCTAATGCAACTGAATTTGAAATTGAATAGAGAAAGAAATTATTCAATAATTGCCCAGTGCACAGACAAAGTAAGAGAATTTTCTGTGCATCAAAATTACCTCCTTCAGTAATGGAGTCATTAAGGATGTTATAGTTGGCTATAGTGTCAAATAAATCTTCATTTTTCTCAGAATCCCTATTATTATTCAGAAGCAAAAAAGAACAAGTGAAACAGCAGGATCAAATTTGTTCAAAAAGAAATAACAAAAAAGATGTAAAGAAAAGTGAGAAAGAGAGAGAGAAAACCTTGAAGCAGGAAACTTTAAGATGTCGTTGATCATTGTCGGCTCCAACTCTTCATAGTATTTGTTGAGATTGCCATCTATGACATCAGAATCAATCCTATTTGTCTCCTCATCAATGTTGTAAGAGCTCATCAGTTCATTAGGAGATGCTGCATTCTCTTTCCTAGTGCCAACTTGTTGCTGATTATGTCTTCCCCAAAAGCTAAAAACAAGAGGAAAATGCAGGGCAAGTCTGGACAGTAGACCAACATTCTGGGAAGACTGTTGAACATTTAAACTGCTAAATATACGACAAGGGAAACCCATAAGCAATTCTTTAAAGCATGGACCAATTGGTTGCATCTGATTCATCATTAATTATGCATATCACACTAGTCCATGATGCTGTAAAAATGGTTGAGGGAACAAGAAATATTGAGAGAGACGTTTGATTAATTCCAGGTGTCTAATTTACAAGTGGAGACCCTTATTTATAATGAGTCATAAATACAATGAACAACAGTTACCCTAATTTACATAATTACATGCAGCTCACAATATCACTAATTACCATGTTTACATCATCTCTAACATATTTAAATAATATCTATCACGGAAAAATATAAAGATCATTTTAAAATTGAGTCAACTAATAAATCTCTTATGACAATACGTGACTTTAATTTCAGACGATCCATGCACAGCATAGTTTGATAAACAATGTTTAGGAATTTGCACAGCCTTGAGTTTCCTTCTTTCTTTTTTTCTTTGGCTACCTAAATAGCTAATCTAGTAATCTTTGAGTAATCATCCTTGTGATTCCATATCTTCACCATTCATCAAATGAAGCCATAGTTTTAATTTCAAAGGATGGTGAACTACAAAATGTTTTGAGAACCTGTAATTGTACTCTTAAGTAGCATTTTCCATTGGGCAAGTGGACCAAATGGAATGGAACATCGTTTTTGGTTTCATTCTCCATAGTTCTACCCCTTAAGCGGGACTAAAATGTACCCTTTTTAACCCGTAGTTTTGTTCTGTTGTATTTTAAAAATGTACCGACCTCAATATGACCATATATACTGTTTGGTGCCGTTCAAACATGTCTACCATATAGACCCTCCTCTTCATTCTCACACAACTTCATTCTTACAATAACTGTTCACAACTACTGAACATGCACTTGAAATTCCTCTGTTCATCCTAGCTACACTAGAAAACACTATTTTAAACCAATGACAAATTTATAGAATATTATCAATCACCTGTAAACAGGCAACTTGAGTATGAATGCATACTCAAGTTCATAATGGAATGTCGTCCATATTCAAGTTCCCTGTTCAATAGCAGTCATATATATGGACTGTAATGATATTCATACTCAAGTTGCCTGTTTAATAATATTCTATCCATGTGATTGAAAAGATGATCGATGATTACAGTGTGAATGTCATTACAGTCCATCTAAAGTATGAGAAAGAAACTTGAGGCTCATGCTTCACAAGAAGACATGCATAAAAATCAGTGTGCCCCATGAGTGTCAGTTCATTATATCAAAACTAGCATTAAGCTTGCAAAACATTTTTTAAACTCTTATATTGAAGCAAAGAACAAACAAAAATAAAATCCACTGGTTTAATCTTTTAAGAGTCACAAGTAAATAATCATCTCAATCTCAACTCAGTAACAACAATAACAAGGGAGTTATTGCCATCGAATTCAAAGGAGCCTCAAATATAGATGTAAAAAAACACTAATTATGATTTCCTAACACTGAAAAAAGAAGTTATTCAACAAGCATTCATATCTTCAAATAAGATACTTACCCAAATTTCCTTCCTTTTTGTCTTAATAAATAAATTCTTTATCAACAACCAAAAACAGAAGAACTTACCCAAGTGCAAGGACTGTTGTTATCAGTAGGTTGGGCTCAACATCAGGCTCATGTATTGCCAATATTATGATATCCCCTGTGTATTCTGTTGTTTGACGGAAAGTATGCAGAAAGGTCGCTAAATCACTATCAGTGATGGGTGCTGAACATGCAAGAATGCATATAACTACACTATTTGGATCCTGAACAAAATAGTAACTATCATAAGTTTATAATATACTGTAGAGAAAAAGGAACACAACCAGAAGGGTGATAGCTAAATGTTTAAATAAACATAAAAAGAAGGTTCTACACTGAATAAATGGCAGATGGGTCAATCATTCTGAAAAAGAATTTAGCAACAACAAAGGCATTTAATTAAAAAATCACGCATGTTGAAAATTTTGTGATCTATCAACAAAGAAAAAAATATCTATTAAGAATTAATATGGAAAATAGGTGATACCTTCAAACGAACTCCAAGGAAAGGACTATCAAATATAGACTGCAAAATCGAAGTTTTGATGTCATATGCAGCTCCAAATCCAATCCCTGCTTCCTTATAGGATTCCAATATCTGTACACCGTAACAATTTCACAAAGGACTGGGGTGAAACTTGAAAGAAATGGAAACATGAAAATTGATTAAAAAGAAAAGAGGACCAATATATTCAATTTTCAACCTGTTTTGAGAAAAATATAAACAAGGCAAACAAGTAATTTTTAACGAAAAAAAAAGGTCTGCAACTACCAGGGTGGAAATCATAGAAATATACTTTGTTAATTTCTGAAGTGCTGGCCTCTTTCATGCTATCATTCAATCTATCTATAAATTTTATGTGCATCTCCTGCAAAACCTTCCATAAGTAACCATAAAATTGTTTTATACAAACTAATAGCTGAAGATATACTAGGAAATTAAACTTACAGATTTTAAAACAGATACGGCCTTAATTGCTAGCAAAACTGCATCATTTGCAGTCCTCATGGCCTCATCTAGAGTCAACAAATCTTTTTTGAGTAGGGCATCAATATCAATCTCTGTATCATAAATCAACAGAAGTAAGATCTAAGATTTTTTGCAGGTCTTTTGGTCGTCCAATACAATGTAAATTATACTTTCCTTTCTCCTGTTAACCAATCTCAAATCACAGTTTCGTCAATTAAAAAAGAGAAAAGACAACCACAATGTCATCGATATTTGACAGGCAGTTCAAAATAACTTCAAGCCTTAATCCCACTAAGAGGAGGTTAGTTAAACCTGTTTATAGATTATGATTAAGATTCACAATATTAATCCATCCCAGCTATCATACTTTTCCAAAATTTGTCAACCAATGTGTGTAATTCTCGAGAAACTCTACCTCATTATTCCTCATTTTTCGTCATATGCAGCATGGATGATTTGTAATAAACATCCTTATAATTGCAGCTAAGTTTGATTATGTTCAGGAAGTGTGGATAAAAGGGTCTCTCAGATATGGGATATAAATCAAAGTCATTCCTGGGCTATCTTCTAAAAGTTAATTTTTTCTAATAATTGGTTCTTTAGACATGTAGAAAGGCCCTTGGCCCATTGTTTGGGTTAGTCAAGTACAGATTATAATTTTTCTGATTTCAACGTGGCTTGTAAAAGTACATAGCCAGAATCTGTAAATGGTAATACAATTATTATTAAGTTAATAGAAATGATTTATTTCCCTCTGGTGTTCACTGACTAAGTCACACACATGACCACATGACTAACAAACCCAATAGATACCATCCATATACCTGACTGGCAAGTGCTGTTCTTATAGAATTCGCTTTAACATATCTTATTATCAAACAGAGACATTGGGCCAGCTTGTGACATGTGCCTCATTAAACATACAGAATAAATCAGCAAGTTTCACCTTCAAATTTAGCACGGCAAGAAAATGATGGCCTTTTAATGAAGTTATTTAGACATTAGGATATGGATAACTAAATGTTCTTTCCGGGAAAAGAAAAAGCTTCCCTTTAAGAACTAAATTCTAATTAGCAAAAGCTAATGAACAAAAAAAAAAAAAAGGTTGGCACAATCAAATTCTAACAAGCAAACATGAAATATTCCTCACCAATAAGTACACTTGTGCTCTCCTTAAGTTTCCCCATCAAAGCTTTCACCTGAGAATTTATGGCACAAATAGATGTATCATAAAGATTATATGATCCGAAACAAAATGATTTAACAGCAAAACATTAATGATTAATAAAAACAATCTCAGGCAATCATAAAGAAAAAAATATACAAGATGTCTGATAACCTTCAATGGCATTTTCCTAAGTAACCATCATTAATAAGAAGATAAGCTCACAGAAATATTCATCATATTGCAGGTGGAAATGCTTAAAACCCTATATTAAAGATTATTTTGTAGCTGTGATTTCTTACATCATTACAGTAACCAAGTGTATTATTCAAAGCGTTGATGATACCTCATCTTGTCGTCTAAGCCCTTCAAATCTAAAAGGCTTCAAAACTATAGCAACTGCCAATCCATTTCTGGACCTTACAGTTTCAAAAATATCAACTGCAACAGTGTGGTCCAAGCCATATCCTGCACTAGCCACCTGAAGAAAAGGGCAGAGGGGTGACAAAGACCATGAGACTACTTTAACAAATTCTATCTGGAAAAATCCATCTCATGATTTGATTTTGCATAAAATATAACCATGCAAGGAATGTGGCATTAAGTCACATCAGTCAGCTTTAAAATATCTAATGCAATAAATAATGACATGACTTCATTTAATCAAATAATTATATTCACTCTATCATGATGAATAATCAATTTAAGTAACTCAATTGACTTGTGCATGTTTCTCAAAATCATCAGCTGAAAGGGATAAAGCAAACTAGATCACTTGGACACCCATAGTAACTTGATGGATTAAAGTTACCACAATTGAAACAAAGGTTTTACAACAGGAGTTTGAAGGTAAGGAATGTACAAACAAGAACAATAGTCTTTGAACACGACTTCAAAAATACTGGAGCTTTGACAAATCTTGGACAAGGTTCTGCAAAAATAGCCCAAAATATTAGTACCTTCTAACACAGAGAACAAAGTGGGATTTATTTGAACTGAAATTCATTAGTGAAACAGGGCATTTTCCCCTATCTCTTTCTGTATTTTTTTCATTAAAAAGTTATGATTTCTAGAATGAATCTGTCTTCTGATTAGAGATTTAAACTTCATTTTTTACAGTAAAATAAAGAATAATGTAATCGCAATTTAAGATTTTTCTATCAAATTAGACATCAAAGAAAATAAGTCAATACATGTTTCTATATTAAACTAGACAGAGTAGAATTATAAGATAAAGATAGTCACAGTAATATTAAATAAAAGGAAAACCTTCTTCAATTGACCTTTGCTGTAATTGCACCTCTTGTGCTTCTTTCATAAGAATATTCCTGCACAAGATTGCTATGTTAAAATGAATTCAAAATGCAAACACAGAAAATAAAAAAAAAAAAATCTAGAAGAATCTAAATAATGTTATCTGAAATGGAAAAAACCATGTAATAGACTAAAACCATAAGTCATTTCTTGTATACTCTCGAAGATTCTAAAAAGTATGACATCATTACGTATCCATCTCATTACTGATGATTAGCGGTGGAAGAGCTGGACAATCTGGAAAATGATGGCTTGGGGAATATATATTTTTTAATGTAGAGTCCTTAAAAACTTAGTGGGCAGGAGGGAAGGCCTCTCATGATTTACACCAGGCACTGCCTCTGCCAATAAGGGTTGCCCCGATTGGTAAAATCCAACACCATTGACAAAACAATAGCTATTGCTAAGACTTGTCACGATATTACAAACAATGCAATTTCCTTCCTTAAAGCAACATAAGAAGCCCTACATGTTTACACATTAAATACAAAATATCTGCGAAGGCACTGGTATAATATTGTCAACATTGTCTGTTCCCGCCACTAAAGAACAAATAATCAACGGAGATTTAGAAAATACTAAAACTATCAGTCGATGCTTTCACTATAGATAAAACTAAGGATCTTCAACCATACCAAGCCATATGATATTTGAACGCGTTCAAGGAGAAAAGGAAAATATCGCAAATCACATAGGTTTTGAATTTACAATTCAGAAATAAAAAAAAATATAAATACGAAAACGATGAAAATAAGCTAGAAAGATTACCAAAATCGCAGCGACAATAGCTGAAACGGCGAGTTCAAGCAGAAATCAAAAACCGCGTCCTTCCTAGAGCCAATGCCAATCACTTCGACAAAATCAGATTTCGTTTCTCCGCTCTCGATTCCACCATAACCGTTTGACGACGAGCCTTTCTCCGAGCACATCTTGATCCGAACAAACGGTTTTGACTTGCGAGTCCAACGAAAGCCATAATCTCGACGACGAAGACGAAAAGAACATCGGCACCAAACTTGATTCGAATAAAATGGAAGTAACGAAGCATTAGAAGCTGCTTTGAAGCTCGGAAATGCAGAAAGCTCCATTTATAATGGGGACGCGCGTGGTACAAGAGATAAGGCTTCCATTAAGCAATGTGTATTCTCGTCTCCAGCGACGGGGATTGTGAATATTTCACTAAGCAAACGAGACCTTGGCTTTATTTATTGGCATATTTTTATACTAACTTATTTATAAAACTTTATTTTTCAATTTAAATTAATTCATAATAATAATAATAATTAGTTTCAAATTTATAAATATCCATTAATTTTAAATATTATAACTATTCTTATTAAATGATCTTAAAGTCAATATTCAATATAAAATAATAAATATTATTTTATATATCAAAAGTTAATCTCTAACATGTACTTATTACTTATTTTATAAACAAAATATTCGACTAACAAAATTTATAACTCAATTTTATTTTATCTTTTTGATTATTTAAGTAATTAATTTTTTTATTAATTATCAATTATTAATATTTAATTATCTTATTTTGATACGACAAAAGAAATGTTCATTTTGAAGTTAAGTCAAAAGAGTGTGCGTAGATTTAGTGTTAAGTCAAATGAGTATTCGATTTCTTTTTTCTATAATGATGACCGAAGTATCTTATCCAGTACAATGATTATTTATAATTTTATTATTTTAATCAAATTATTTATTATAAATTAATATTTAATAATATTTAAAATGTTCTTTTAGTAATATCATTTTAAATATTATTATATTTAATAATATTTTAATTTGTATTAATAAATAATTAGATTTATCTATGCAAATATTTAATTTCTAAAAATTATTACTGTACTATTTAAGAAATTTTCACCTTTAAATTTAATTTTTATGCTATTAAATTGAGTTTTTTACTTAAATAATAATATTGTTTATAATATTTATTCAATAGTATTATATTTTTTAAAATGTATTTTATAATTTTCTTTATTCAATAGTCATTTTTTCTCTTTTTAAATATATATAAATTTTAATTTTTTATTTTAAAAAATATATTATCAAATAAAATTTTATATAATTTAGAATTTTATAAATATATTATTCAAAAATAAATTTTTAATTTCAAAAATATCAAAAAGTATAATATAAAGAGATATTTAAGCGTTTTATATTAATATATTTAATAGTTAATTTAAGGTTTTAAACACATTTTAGAGTTTTTTTATTCTATGATAATAAAATTAACTGATAAATAACTTCTACCAAGAAAAAAAATATTTTTAAAATGTTTCTACTATCATCTCACACGTTATAGTACCGTTTTTCACAATATATTTTTATATTAGTTTTTGTATATAATAAAAAAATTTAATCATAACTTTTATTTTAATTTTTATTTTATTCTTTAATTAATCGTCATAGATAAAGGAATAGAATATAAAAATTGCTTGTTAACGAGTATTTTAATTAATCTTTGTACAAATATTTAGAAAGTATTAAAAAAACTGTTATTTAAAAGTTATAAAAAAATAACGTATATTTTTATAACAATTTAAAATATTTGATCAAATGTATTTAATACTTATTAATATATGTCATGGGCATTGAAAAAATAATTAAAAGAATAAGGTTTTATTGTTATGCTTAATAAAAATAAAAACCAATGGTTTTTCCATTCATACTGTCCCATGTTAGTAATTTATAATAAATAAAATTAAAATATATTCTTTTTAAGTTTTAAACATCACTTTTTTATATTGAATTGAATAATTTTCTTAATTAAATAAGATCAATTTTATTTAAATTAATATAATAAATAAAGTGAAACTTGCAATATAAATAAATTTTAAAAAATATTACAGTGACAAGTGATAATAATTGATAAGTTAGAAAGGATAATTTTATTGACTTTTGATAATATTATTCTAATTTAATATCATTATGAAAATATTATAAGAATATAGTATTTAATAGTTTAATAAGGAATATTATTGTCTTGTTATAAAATATATATATATATATATATATATATATATATGAAATAGTTTTAAATGTCAAAGTTATTAATTTTTACTACTCTTTAAAAGAGTAATAGAAACAATATTTATAATACAAAATATATAGTCAATTTCATACCATTACATGTAATTGTTAAGGATTGTTTATTTTATCATACTATACATGTTCATTATTTTTATATTATATTTTGATACTTATATACAAAATATATTGTGTATAAAAATTATGTAGAAAAATGTGATATATATATATATATATATATATAAGAGATTAAATAAAAATAAGTAATGTAAAACTTAATCAAACTACATAATATTAACAATTCTTTTATCTCTAGTTCAATTTTCAATAGTTTTTTACCAATAATGAACTCGTATTTTTTTACCTAGTTGAACGCTTTCATTATAAAATTATACTTTAATGTATAATGTAAAGCCTTCATTTATTAGTTGTAAAAATATTGAAAGAAAAATAAACAATTAAAATATGTTTGATTACTATCTTGAAAATATTTTTTTATTTTAAAAATAAATTTTAATACAAATTTAAGATTTAAAACTAGAGCTGTCAAAATGGGCCAAAGCCTTGAACCCTACTGTGTTAGCCCTCTATAATTAATGGATTTACATTAGCCCTAAGCTCCAAAATAAAGAAAATAGTGAGTTAGGGTCAAGGTTAAGGGTGGGCTAGCCCACTTATTTTACAAAGTAAATAATAATAATTATATTATTTTTTATAATATTTATTAAATTATTTTATTTAAATAAATTAAAAATTATTTTTAAAAATATTTTTTATTCAGTATATTAAAATTTTATCATAAAAATAATATATTAAATTGTTCCTTTTAAATAACTGAATGTGCATGTTAGTCCATCTCAAGCCAATTATATATTAAACTGGGTTGTGTTGGGTCAAAATTCAATTAGACTCAAAATTAGTAAACTCGACAATGTATATATTTTAGTAGGATAAATAAATTGACCCTTTGGACTTAAGTGCACTTAGATATAAACTTTTTTTTTTATATAAGAGAATACATAAATTAATTGAATATTTATTTAATATTTTTTAAAATCAAAATTTATGTCAAATTATAAATTTATTAACATCTATTTACAGATAAATTTAAATTTTAACAAAAATTTAATTTTAGGAAATAAGTTGAGATTCATTAATGCATAAATACTTATGTTTTTAATAATATTTTATAAAATACAAGATTGACTAAATTAACTGTTGACTTATTTTATTATAATTTAATGTTCATATAATTTAAATATTTTTGAGTTTGTTATTTTGATATTTATTTATATTTAAAAAATACAACACCTGTTAAAATAAATTAATATAATAAAGTATTATTAATTTTATTTATACATAAAATTTTATAAATTTAATTTATTTATAAAAATTTTAAGTTAACGATTAAATTAATCAATTTCATGTTTTATAACAAATTATTAAATCGTAAATTTTTAAATTAACATTTAATATTAACAAACACTTTAACCTTAAAAAAATATGAAAGTTAAAAAAATTAACGCAAAATCTATCTAATATTTATCAGTATATAAATATAATTAAAGATTATATTTTTATGTATGTACATGCATCTATATATATATGTATATATATGTGTATGTGAGAATATTACTCAATGTTGGATATAATTAGGCTTTTTTGCCTTTTGTGGTTAATTTGAAAACAAAATACTAAAATAGGCATGCATGCAAAGAAATTCCCTGTCTGAGGTTTGATGGCCACGTGGCAGTGAAGTCATCCAGCATAGGGACGACACTCAAAGGATAAAATGTCCAATTACCAGATGATACAGGTGAAGTCGTCCAGAAGAGGGACGACACGCGTCTGACGATCCAACTATGACAGTGTCGTCCCTGTTTCAGCCGACACTAACGTGATGCTGACACTTGTTGTCCCAGGAACTTGTGTTGTTATATGTTGGATGATTTTAATGTCGTCCACAACAGAGACGATTTTAATGTGACCATCAGATAAAAATTTTGATACACTCCTTTGTCCAAATTAGAATGTGAATATAAATAGTAGGATGAAGCTTGAGAAGAAATGCAAGTAGCCGGAAGGAAGTGTGAAGCTGGAATAACAGTGTGGAGCTGGACAAGAAATAATAACTATTGAGCAATCAGGTTAGATTTTAAGTATTATGAATATATAATTTATTTTCAATAGTTATGTAGAAATTTTATTTTGAATAATAAAATTTAATTTATATTTTTAATGGCTTTTAAGTATTAATGTTGTAATTTAATTTTTTTTGTTATGTTTGGAAATAAGGCAGATAACATATAATGTTAAAAATTAAATATTTAAATATTTATAATTACAAATGAATTTAAAAATATATTTTGTTATATTAAAAATTAACTTATAAATAAGCTTAGCTTATTTTAAATGCAGGATTAATGAAATTGTTGGTATATTATATTCAAATGGTAGAATATATGAAGGAAATGAGGGTATAATTTTTGAAGGGCAAAAAAAGATGATTAAGATAGAACTGGGATCACACTTGAGATGTTTAAACGAAAGATCCATACAAGACTGAAATTGTCAAGTTATCACGTAATTTCTAGATTAATTTTTTGAATTTTAGTTGGGACAAATGGTCGATACCATACAACTCTAGATGTATGTGACGATGAAGACATAGATTGCATAATAAGTGCGTGTCAACAAGCACATCATAGGAATATAGTTGAGATATATGTGGATGTTGCGGTGGGTGAAACATTTTCTGTTGTGGCGCATCCATTAGAAGTGAATTTATCACTCTCACAACTTCATGGAAGTGATGATGACGATGATGATTATGCACAAAGAGAAGATAATATGAATTTAATAATTTTTAAATTTGTAAAATTGATGCTATAAATGCTATTAATAATATAAGTTTACAATGTACAGATAAAGATGATGAAGATGATGAATATGAAGATGAAGAAGATATTTCATTAAATGATTTTTCTGATACTAAGACAAATGATGATTGTGATTCAAAGATCAATATGGAGAGTATTGTAAGAGTTAGTTTATCGCAACAACAACATGGAGGTATGATTTTTTTAGAACTTATATTTGTAGT